TTGTTCATTCTGATTTTTTCTTGTTTTTATTTTGTTTTTTGTTTTTTATTTTTTTTTTTATATTTTATATTTTTTTCATAATTAAAATTATATAAATTATGATCTGTGTTTAGAAAAGTAATGATATTTGATAACACTCTCTATTGAATTTTCAACAAATAAGCACTATGTTATGATATTATGTAAGTGAGAAGTGATTTCATAATCTTATTTAATGTCATTCTCAATAATGAGATCAGAATGAAAATGTGACTAAGAATTCAAACATATTCTTTATTCAGAACTAGATTTTTATTTGAAAAGTGAATCTGAGATCTTTAATATTTAAAATAACATGATTTGAAATCAATGTGATGAATACAAATCATGATCAGAAGTAATGCTTTTAGGCAATGTAACAACTATAAAGTTTGATTCTGGTCTCAGACACGGTCACACGGTCAGTCTACTCACAGCATCTTATTTATATAGATCTGAAAGATAGCTGAAGCATTATAAAGATTAAAAGATAAAACAAGATATTTAAAATTACTGTACTTAGTATGAAAAGCTGTTTTTTAAATATCATCTTTATTAACTCTAATTCTATAATAGATATTCTATATATTAATCTTTGAGAATATCTTTACTTTAGATAATCAATTGATCATCTTATTAATTAATAATAATAAATAGTAATTCTTAACTATTATCTTATTAAGATCTCTGTAGTCTATACATAGATATAGTCTATTATTCTTCTTAAGTATAAAGAGTATAAATATCTCTATCAGACTCTTTAATAAGTGTATTCAGTTCTTTAATTATACTTTCTCAAGATATTTATACAGAATATTCAATTTCTTTATAGACAAGTTATAAAGAAATTTATACAGTATTATTATATTATCTTTAAGACAAATCTTATATTATATCTTAGTATTAGAAAACTTTACTACTTCTCTTTCTGAAAAGACATTCTTATAATCTGTAAAAAGATATTATATATATTCATCTTTAATAATAAATACTGCTACTAATCTTATAGTGAGAATAATAGCTTCTTTATCTATTCTCAAGTCTCAGTTATCTACTATATAGTATATTAACTCTATTCTTTTCTCAAGATTTCTTCAATGAAACTCTTCAGATTTCTCTATCACTATCTCTTTATTAATAAGATAATACTGTTATATCTAAATAACTCAGTTAATAAGAGAATTATTTTCTCTTAATTATAGAAGATCTAGAATAATATTCTTATCTATAATATTAACTATATGAAAAAATAGACTACTCTTCTTAAACATTTCTTCTAAGTCTGTGATTATATACTTCACTTAAATTATATTAAAATAGTAATATTTCATTTTATCAGTAAATTTTATATAATTTAATAGATCTATCTTCTTTCAACTCTTTATTAAAGAAAAGAAATAGAATATAAAGTTAATATTTATTTTAAATTTAAGTAGATATCTCACTAATATCTTCTTATTTAAGATATATATTGTGATTATAATATAAACTTAAAGATATAAGAATTATTAATTCTTTATTTCTCTCTCTTATTTATCTTTTATGAATATATTTATTAGAAGAGAAGTTAACTTTAAGAAGATATCTTCTCAGTTTCTTTTCTTCTTCAGTTTCTTATAATTACTAGTATAGTAATTATTAGTTCTACAGTTAAAATAAAGATCTTTATTAAATCTTTTTTAGTATTTCTTCACAGTGAGTGAAGAATTAGAATACTTAAAATTCTTCTTTATTTTCTTTATACTGAAGTTATTATAGTACTGTTTAAATTTTATTATTAATTATTTAAAAGAGATCTTATTAATCTTTTTCTCAGAGTATGAATTATTTAAATAGATTTAAAAAGTTAAGTTAATAAGCTTAGTATAATTAATTAATGAACTCTGATACTATAATATTATTATTTATATCTTATAAATCAGCTTTATAAGATAAAGCTATGTCTTTAATTAATTTAAATTACTAGTTAATTTCTCTTAATATTCTTTAAATCTTGTATTAAAATTAGAAGAATTCTTATTATCTTATTAATATAATAAGTTAAATTACTATACTACTATAAAGCTGCAGTTGCAGTAATCTTTAATTTAATTTAATAAAAAGTTCTTAAATTCTTCTTAAGTTATAATAGTATTAATATACTTAAGCTCTTTCTTCTTAATAACTCAAGTAGTTACAGAGATATCTTTAAGAAGATTAACAGTGTATATTACTCATATCTTATAAGTATTAAACTAACTCAGATTAAAATGAAATTTTCATTTAAAAGTATAGATAAAGTTATGAAATTCAGATAATATATTTCTCTTATAATTTAAAAAATCTTCAATCTTAATCTCTCTATCTTTATAATAGATATAAATGTATAGAAGCTGTAGTAGTAATAGAGTAATTAAAGAACTTATATTAAAGTATACAGTAGATTCAGAAATCTTGAATTTCTACTAAGATAGAGATATATATACTCTAGAGAATAATATGAAATTTTCTTCAGAGAGTGAGATTAAATCAGTCTTAATATAAGTATATAAAATTATATTAGTCTGTTAATAGAGCTTAACTGATTTAAACTTATAATCAGATTAAGTGATTTAAATTGTAATATAATGAAATTGAAGTAGTAACTAGTTAGTGATATTATATAGAAGTAGTTATTTAAAAAGCTGTATAAGTGAGCTTGACTATTTTATTTAAATAGTAAGCTTATGAGCTACAGAGTTATTCTAAGAATATCACAGATACAGTACTTAGTATATTAAGAAGATTGTATGAGAAATGCAGTAACTCTTGTATCTCTTTTAATAGAAGAAAAACAAATCACTGACTTCTTTGATAAGAAGCCAGTATCTAGCTATTTTATATAGATAATGAGTGAATACTCTTCTTCTATTTCATGAGTGAGAATAGCCAGAGTGATACCTCAGCAGTATCTCACTGTTATAAAAGAGTAATCTGCTAATCTTGTATAGAAGTGAGGTTCTTATATTCATCAATCAGATCTTCCTATAATATATCTGAATGATGTCATAGAGTGGTTGGAAACCGGTTCGAATGGCCTGCGGGATGGATGGAATCATCCGCAAGGAAGCGATGGACCGTGTGGAACCGCAATGGGGCCTTGGCGCGGCCGGGGGCGTGACATTAGTGTAGACTTCTTATAAAATTAGATTAAATCTGAAATTTATAATTCTATCAGCCAGTCTAACTGTAGCACAGATTACACAGCTAAGATTAGAAAATCTTTCATTGAATTCTATAACAGCTTCTACACATTTTGCAATGTCTTAAAATATTTCAATTATCTTGAGATTGATGAAAAATGCAAGAATTGTGTAGTCTCTGTGCCCCGGTGGCTGAATGGTTAATGCGGCCACCTGGTAACTTTAGCGCCTTGGCATGGGAAACCAAGGCGTGCAGGTTCGAAACCCGCAGGGGATACATTAAATCCGGAACTCAAGCACCTCAGGTTTCTAATAAATACAGAGGTGTACAAATCACTTCAACAAAAATCACTCTATGTCCCTGGGCTGGGAGTTATTATCGCATGTATCTAATAGTCACTCCTTTGTATTTTCCTATGTTCTTGTTATCTTGGCGTGGTCTCAACACCTGTATTTCCTCCTGTATAACCAACACTTGGCCTGTATTTAACATCACGCAAGGAGCCATCATAAGCTCCGCTTGCATATGAGTATAATGGAAGAATAATAATAATAATAGTAGTGTAGTCTCTGTATGAATTGTTATTCAACTGCAATATTTAGCTCACTAGCTTCAGGCTTCAATATTTATCATTGTGTCACTTAAATTTACTGGAATCATCATTGAAGTGTTTTTTTTAAATGGAGAATGCCTCTCTACAAGAGACTTAGCTAATTTCATTCTGCTCTCAGCTCAGGACTTGTCAACAAAAATGAATTATTTCTCAGCGCCATAGAATGACGCATGCGATCTGTAACCCAGTCATTTGGTGGGTTTGTAAAACAGTTTCACCGTGCCATCATCCCAACAATGCTCAAGTACTCGCAGTATTTCGAGTGTGAGGATTCAGCTTGACAATCAATGCATCAAAGCCTCATCCACGGGATCTATGCCTTGAGCTATTGGAACCTTTGATCAAAGACAAATACTCTACAATTCGACATACATACTGTCAGTAATGCCCAGTGAGAGGGAAAAAAAAAAGTAGTGAAAAGAAAAATGGAAACCACCTCCCTGGTGAAAGAAAATATGATGCCTAGTGCAATTTGCTGATATATTTGCTATCTTGAACCATCTTTGAGGTGTTGTATTCTATAGTGAAGCCAAAATACCCCATAGTGCTTGCCCATGGGCTGTTAGGATTTGATGAGTTGAGACTGGGGGGGAAATATCTTCCAGGAATCCAATACTGGCGCGGAATCAAGGAGGCGTTTACCCTTCAGGGGATCGATGTTATTACGGTTCCTGTCTTGCCGTCAGGGTCCGTTGAGCAACGAGCCGAAGCGCTTATGAGAGGGATCGAGGCTTGGATTCAGGTCGACGAAGTCAATATTATTGCGTGAGTGGAGACTTTGCATTTTATATATGTATGCAGGCACGGTTTGATGGATAATTTGTCTTCGCTAACTATCCTCTATTTAAAGACATAGTATGGTATGTTAAACCTGCTTGAAGTTTTCATAAAATTTCATTATTTCTGGATATGGGCTCACCTTATTATTTAGGGGTATGTGTTTTCGGGTTATTCATACATGTTTTGCACAGGGAAACTGTTCTGACTACAGCGGAACCAGGGGTCTGGACTCCCGTTATATGATTAGTAGACTTCGCCCTACGAGCTTCCGCGTTTTGTCCCTGACTACGATCTCCACCCCTCATCGAGGTTGGTCATGTCGCAAGTTGCTTGAGTACTACTGCTAACTAGAGTAGGTTCTTCATTTGCCGATTATGTGTTTGGGCAGATTGGAGGTACGTCATATCCCCTTTCGAATACGGGTAATATCTTGTTCAAGCACACGGAACACAGAGAAACGAGTATGCAACGCTCTCGCGCGGCTGAAAATCGAATCAGGGGCATTCAATCAACTCACTCGCAAGTACATGCAGGAGGAGTTCAATCCGAACACTCCAGACGTTCACGATGTCAGGTGTGTAATCTACTAGCGCTCGCTCGCAAATAAAGGACGGTGACCCGTCACTCACTATCAGGGACCACCCAGGTACTTTTCGTACGGGGCCTCGCTAACCCCAAGTTTGTGGTCTGTGTTTGGCCAGTCCCACCGGATAATCGAGCAGGAGGAAGGCCCGAATGACGGACTGGTCAGCGTCCAAAGTAGCAAGTGGGGAGGTCAAGAGGGCTATAAAGGCACCTTTGTTGGTGTTAGCCATCTTGACTTAATCAACTGGACCAACCGTCTGAAGTGGCTTGTTGTCTCTGAAGTAACAGGGAACACCAGGAAGTGAGTATTGGTTAACCATTTGTGATGTTTCATGCTAAGCATGATCACCCCGCAGGCAAATACTGATGTGTGTTTCTGGGGGAGCCACAGGTTCAATGCACTTGCCCTATATCTGGATATTGCTGGTAAGAGAGCCACATATCTGCAAACAGCTTTTGGATCTAGCTGATTCCGTTTGGATCCGGTGAATGTAGATATGCTTGCAAAAGAAGGCCTATAAGTCCTCCGGTTGAGTTTACTGATGCTTGAGTTTTACCCTGCTTCCAGAATCGCCTCGCCTGCCCCTACCCCTGGTACATGTATGTGCCTGTATTCCCATGCTATTGCAGTGTATTGATAGATATAGATAAAGGCGTATCATAAGTTTGTGTTAATGAACGATAGATAGCAGCATTTCCCTCTGTTCTCTTGTCTTTTTTATTTCCCTTTCTGCAAATCCGGAATTTCTCGAACCATTTTACAAACTTTGCACTCGCAAGTGACGTGTGGATGAGGCTGAGGCGGCAAGCGGTTACAGGGAACAAAGCTACCAACCAACTGCGTATCGTGGCTCAGGATCTTAAAAGCATATCATATCGCTTGAGGCGTGGAAAGAAAGCTGAATGACTGCTGTGGTTTTGGCTTGTTTCGGAACACTTTCGTGCCGATAAGCATATTCATCATAATTACGGAGTAACTAATGGCTCTGCTGCACAAGGCTGAAAGCAGATGTTTGTCCTAGCTCATCCGTTAGTTAGCCCTATGTATCTCGAAGGGTACCTACTTTAATGCTTCAGTGTATAAATCTTTGCGGTGGCATGAACCGAACAAGCCACAAGAAAGCCGAAAGATATGGCGGGGCTTGGCACAACGACATCTGCCTGGATTTATCTCCGGCCGGTCAGTTTCCAGTGCCCGCCCGCAACACACCGGAACAAACAAAACTGCTTGTGTCTTCATTCTCTAAATTACTCTTTGAGAAACACAGATATAATACCTAATTTGTCTTCTAGAGGACGCAGTGCTCGCTTCTAGATTCTCTCCCAGCTTTGCTTTCACCTCCCTTCTAATTGTCTGTGTAATACTTGCTTTTCGCCTCGCAGAGTAGTGTAGTTACACCCCGCGGTTAGCTCATTTCCTGTTGGGAAAACGCTCTGCGCAGGAATCCCACTCGAATTAAGCCAATTATTCACCATGTCTGTTCGAATCCATCTGGATAGGCCGCATGCGTATTTTACGAACCTCGATTTCATCACAGGGAAAGTCATCCTTGCCCTATCCACCGATACTCCCGTATCAAGCGTCGTCGTGAAGCTCGAGGGCGAGAGCAGCACCAGGCTTGCCGCTCCGAAATACCCCAATAGTGACCGCAGTGAGAAGAAGAGGACGGAGGTGGAATCCCACAAGGTATGCGTCTGTTTATAATAACGAATCGAGTCTATTGAGGTTGGAGCTTTCGCGCTAATTACTCACGCGGTTTCAAACCTGCAGCTCCTATACAAAACCCGTACTTTATTTCCGGTTGAGGATACGTCTGAACTCGTCGGAAGTAACCCGTACTATACCCTTCCGTCCGGCCATCACGAATATCCCTTTAGTTTCAAAGTGAGTCAAATGAGAAGATTCCAGGCAATATTGTAGCGTACGGTTTCGAGTTTGAAAAAACCGCGACTAATTGCTCCTGCTATTCGGCCCTCTATAGTTTCCCTTCAATAATGACTGCAGTGAGCATGCGAGGACAAATCTCAACATGGGCGCGATAAGGCTAGAGGTTGCCCGCGATACGAATATACACGTCCGTAGGGCACTTCCACCGTCGCTGACGGGATTTCCGGGCGAGGCCGAGATTAGATATTACGTGAAGGCGACGGTTGCGCGGCCACAGTTTTACAAGGAGAATTATAGAGGGGTATGTATGATCCTGGATATACCTTTCGCTTCCTCGAAGTTGAATGCTGATAGGGACTCGATCTAGTTTGCGGATTTCAAATTCCTGCCCATCGAGCCTCCGGAGAGAGTAGTACCCGGCGCGGAATCGTATGCCAGACGCCAGCAACAATTTTCAAAAGTCAGCAGTATACCTGGGAAGAAGAGTCTTTTCCGAACAACCAATCCTCCACCCTTGATCGATATCGAGGAAGAACCTCCCAAATTTTCCGTAGATGCCAGATTACCTAGTCCTGCAATCATCACCTGTAACGAGCCCATTCCATTACGAATTCTGGTAAGAAAGCTTAACGACAGCTCCGACACGATTTTCTTGCAGATGATACAGGTCGAATTAATCGCATATACACACATCCGGGCCCACGATCTTGCCAGAACTGAGAGTGGGAGCTGGGTCATTGTAAGCCAAAGCAATATGAACATCCCGCTTGGGGATGGAACCGCTCCCGCTGGGAAGGAGTGGAAGATAGATTCCAGCATGTGGGATCGTACCCCATTGCCCAGTTCTGTGGCGCCGTCATTCGATACCTGCAATATATCGCGGACGTACAACTTGGATGTACAAGTTGGATTAAGACATGGTTCTTCTGCTATGATGAAGGTACGTTACTCACGGCTTCCAGATACACACTCCCATGTCCCTCGATGCATTTCATACGTAGGGCTGGATCTTTGATCTGTCTGTAATTTCATAATGGAGCACCCAAGTAACAGATGCATATTTCGCGGTCTAGCCTGAGCTTATCGTTGTTCCCCTCCGGATACCCGTTCAAGTATACTCTGGAATCGCTCCTCCTCAGGCCCTCTTAGACGCTGTCCGGCGGTCTCCTAGTAAGGTCAGCAAGGTATCCGAGGTTCCGCCTCCGCAGCCTCCTCGGCCTGAGGTTGTCCCGACAATCGCTCCCGTGCACACCGAATACGATGATGCTCCTCCAAGCTATGAGGATGCCATGGCAGATGCTCTTGGGCCAGTGGATGGCCCGCGGCGCGAGTATAACCCTCCAGACCCAGGATCATGGTCAGGGGCTGATAATAAGGGTTCAGCAAAGGATAATAAAGACAACGAGCGGCTTTTCCCTAGTAGCAGCCCGCGCAATGCATCAACGGAGTCTTTCTTTGATAACCATTATGCAAATGTAACGCCTCTGGATGGGCAATGTGCCAACTCCCATTTCGCCGTCCAGCCGCTGCAATCGACATCAATTGGACAGGTTCAACAAACTCAACTTATCGAGGAGACCCTATACCCACCACAACAGGCACCACAGACACAACAAACACTACAGGACTCACAGCAACGAAGGCCATTGCCCTTCATGGGAGTTCCCCCTAGGAAACCCGTTCCGGGGGCGGGAAAACAAGCCTGATCCTTAAAGGTTGAAATTCCACTGGGAAATATATGAGTCCTTCTCCTGTCATCTGAGTATGCGAGAGGTGATAAGATCGTAGTATTAGTATGCGATCAACTGCTATTTCTCTCAACAAATAGCTTATTCCCATTCTTTCCAACTGTCTTTTATTTTCTTTTTCTTTTCTACATATAAACTTTTGGGATAACGATGTATCACGAAAGCGAGGGTTCATGGGCTCGGATAACGAAAGCGTACATTTTCATGTCAGGAATCCTTCTTTTTCCTTTATCTTTTTCCCTTTATCTTTTTTCTTTTTTCGTCGCTTTTGTGCATCAATGAGTGCATGGGACATATTTTTGTTTAGAGAAAAACAACATTGACTGGGGTAATTAAAAATTCTTTGCGGGATGGGTTTCAATAGGGATCAAATAAATAAAAAATAAAACCTGGTTCAAACTCTCAGTCAAAATACATTGAAGTCGAAAAAGAATTCAGAGTTAAGCGAGAGCTGGCGCTAGGCGCTAGACCAAATATAGGCAAGTTTGACATCGCCAGGGGTTGAATATTTGGAACTTTCCAATCCATCGCAAACACCAAAGACACAGCATTATCAGCTGAACTTTTACCGTCTACGAGAGGCAGCGGCAAATAGTAATAGTGTGACTGGCACTAATCAGCATATTGTTTAATATAACCTCTACTGTTCTTCTCTATGCTATATTTTGAAGCTCCGGGTTGGAGCTAGAATTTACCAGCTCACTCGATAAGGAGCATCAAAGCTCCCATACTGTCTATGCTTTCCTAAGTGCTCTAACAATGGCATCCACAGGCGGGATCTAGGCGAATAGGACCCGCTAAAATTACCAGACACCACAGGATTCGGTGAAACTAACGACGAAACTGGCAGCAGGAACTCAAATCAATTCCATATCTTTTCTCTCCCCTCCTATCTTCCTTCCTTCTAAACCGAACAGCCACTAAGCGCCATGCGTCTCCACCTCGTCATACAGCGGCATGGCCTTCCTACAACCCGTGTCCTCTGGACAACTTCCTCGCCCAGCTCTGCGTCCACCAGAGCCAATTCTGCTGTCTCATCCTTCGCCACGGTATCATCTTGTACAATTACGTCGACGCGGGCTCCAAATGCTGGGTTTGGATCTGGCGCATCAGCAGCGGCTTCGGGGAGCGGGGGGTTGACAATCGCACAGTTGCTGGAAGATGTGAATGAGGTTATTCCACTTGAGACGCAAGTTGAGGAAGATAGTGGGAGTGGTGGTGGCATTGGTGGTGGTGCTGGGCAATGGGGACTGGAGGATTATGCGGTGGAAGTTATGGGGTTTGAGTGTTTACATTTTATGGAGGTGGATGGGCTGTTGAGGGATGGGGATGAAGTTGTGTATGTTTATCCTGTTTCGGGCCCCTTATTCTATATTTTGTTTTATGGTATTTTGTCTGATGACTTTATTTTGCTTGCAAATTTGCTAACTTTGACCTTGTGTTCTCCCTGTGGGCTCTAGAATACGCGCATTACAACTTGGTGATCTCATGGCCAGGAGACTTACGGGCCGCCATCAGATCACTATTGATGGGAAGCATTTGATCGACGGTGTTCCGTTCGGGAAACCTTATATTCAAAAAGCAGTGTCGTCAAGGCCACCTATTACAATTCCACCTCGGAAGAAGAGGCGATTGAACTTTGGCGGATGGCGGGTTGATGACGCTCTTGCAAGAGATTTTAATCTTGAAGACGAAGATGATGAAGAGAACGACCCAGACTGGAAAGAAGAAACCGATGGAGCTGGGAAAGAGCTTGTTCTTAGGGCAGGGGATGAAGACGACGACGAGGACGATGAAGAGGACGACGATTATGAATATCAAACCGAGAGCGATGAATCTGCTGTTACCCCGTCTGAGGAAGCCATAATGTTCCACGAGAAACGGAGCAAGGAACTACCTATAGCAAAAGGGGCCGGTTCATCAGCCCCCACCCCCGACTCGAAAACGCGAGCTACGAGGCAACAGAAGCAAAAAGCACAAGCTGATATATGCGTTGGAGAGCGCAAAATTCACGGGATCTTGCTTCAGAAGGCGCGGACATCCTGTCCGTCTTCGCTAAAGCGCAGTCTTGGCGTAAGCTTTGAGGATCAGCGACAATCTGATTCCGAGGGGTCAACATCCTCCGATGCAAAATCGGCGAGCGACGAGGATGAAACAAGCTCCGTCTCTTCCAGTGGTTCCATCTCGAGTGAAGCATCTTCGGAAGCATCTTCAAGCTCCAGTGGTAGTTCATCAGTTTCAGAATCAAAAGATATCAATATTTCTACTACCAGTGCCAAACAACAAGCGACAACATCTTTGACGGAAAATGGCCCGCAGACCTCCGTCGCTACCCCACAGCCAATTGTCCATCCTCCTGGTACCGGTTCTCGACGAACGAAGAATACCAACAGGAGAAACAAGTTACGAAGAAGACTTGAGAAACTGAAGGAGCTCGGAATCCTTCACAAAGATGCTAATTTCGCCGATCTGCGCAAATGGTGCGAGGCTAACCCTGGCCCGTTTCCGGGGATGTCAGGTGAAGAGATCTCAGAAAGTCAGGTGAAAGGCAACGATGAACAGGCGGAGTTTGAAAGGAAGCGTGCACAGCTACTACGGGATATAGCGAAAGGGGGTGTTGATGTGACCCCGCAGCCTACCAAGAACGCTAATAAATTGAGTCCTCTTGAATCGATGTCAACCACACCGATAAATGGCGCCAACGGTGCTTTCGGGACAGCTACAGAATCATCTAAGAGACAGTCAAAACTAGATGTTCCTAGCTCGCAGCGCCTTGTATTTGGCTCTCTAGGTTTGAAAACCCCAAAAACAAAGGAGGGTGAGAAGGCACTGCGAGAGACGCTGAGCAATCATGTACGTCAGCCGAAACCACAGTCAAAATTATCCTCAGTTGAAGAAATTGATAAATCTACGGAAGCGAAGATCGATTCGATTGAAAACTGGGAAGATCGACTCATCCTTCAAGCTACGGAATGTCTTTACGATGATGTAGAGTTGTCCACGCCGCCCTTCCCTTTCGTACAACGATGGGATAAGGATGCGCAGGCGAAAATCCGCGAAATTAAAGGAAACCAACAAGCTAGTGGCAAGAAGCGAAAGCGGAAATCTCGAAATCGCCAAGAAGCCGATTATTATGACCAAGAGTGGTGCAATGGAGACGCGAGTTTTTCAAATGGAAATCAGCTAGATTATGGGAATGATTGGGCTGACGAACATTACAACTCAGCTCAGTCTCTTAATGGGGTCGGCCGTAATGTGACTAGCGCAGAGGCGACTTCAGCAGATAAGAGTGCGTCTACAGATGATCTTCCAGGCTTACCGGACGATATGTCTATTCTGAAAGATGCACGGGACGCTGATATGAAGCCTGGAACGATCGTCGCCTTTAAGCAGCTGGACATGTCTAAAGCTACAAACTGGCAACCGCTGGTGTCTAAATATCGTACTGCCGTTATCGAAGATGTTACGGATGGGATTTTAACACTGCGGCTTGCGCGGCGCGATAGACAGCAACCTCGAGACGACCATGGCGATGACGATGATGGGGTGACGCGATATACCATGTTTGAGATGCCTGGTTACGATGAATGGAAAGGAGAAGATGATGGATTTAGGGAAATGCAATTTGGAGAGCTCATAGAACCGAAATTGCTCTCCATCGGATCTACTGATGGTTCAGTAGAGGTGGTTGAGGAGACACAGCACCACCTGTTGGTATAAATTCTCCTTTTCTGTTGATGGGCCAGTCAGCTTACGCGATACCTGAGCCAGTCCTATTGAACTTCCGCCCCCGATTCCCGAAGTCGCCACTGTTTCGTCGCCGACACGACACGAAATTTCGGCAATGATTCGAGAGGCCGGGTTTAGGTCAGGGTTTGATTCAGATTTTCTTCCTCCCGAAGAGCTATTGTTCAACGTCCAGGACTCGAGGACTTACAATGACGCAACCATCGAGAACAAGGGGGTCACGGATTGTGCTAGTCCGACCGTTCAATCCCCTACCTTTGCCGGCTTTGTCTCGAGCCCACCACCTAACCCCTCAACGCATCTTCGCAAAGATCACCAGCCCCAACCCGCCCCTTCAGCAAACCGCTCTCCGCGGGGTACGCCTGAAAAGCAGATCGTCACGGAGGTGCCCAGCTCCCCTACTTGGCTACAAGATCCTACATCGGATCCCTCTTCCCACAAGCCTAGCTCCCATCATCAGAAATTGTCAGATTTATCTGGCCATCAGCTTCAGTATCTCGAACCCGATGATGCATTGGCCAAGGATTCTATGGCTTCTAACAAGGACCTAACAACCACCTCACAGCATGAACCGTCTATTGAGGAGACGTGTATCGATACCGGATTGGACGCTGGAATAAAGTCAGTCGATGACGCTCCAATGGATGATTGTGCACAACATGTTCAGCCGATGCCCCTTGGCTCCGATGCCATTTACAACTCTTCACCGCCATTGTTTCAGCTCGATCAGACGACTATAGATCAAGACGAGTCCCAGCTTTCATTACTCCCTTCCGCTGTCGAAGATAGCCAGCCAGCTGCACACCACCCTGGTTCAAGTGGATCTGTAATCCCCAATCCTTTCTACGAACCTGATAGGAACCTTCCAAGTGTATCACCGCCCATGGCACGATTCGTTTCTACAGCCCCACCCCGCACAACAACAGCTGCGGAAAATTCGCCGTCCACGTCTGTAACTAGAAGAAGCAGGCGAAAAATCCTTTCATCTCCGCGCCAGGTATCATCTTCACCCCGCCGGAAACCCCAGCGCTATGACGACAGTTTGGATCTCCCAGCCATAACCGAGGCTGACAAGGAGTCAACGCAGCACTCTGAATATGTTACCAATCAAGACGTGTCGCAGAAGAGCAGTAGTTCTATTGTAGATTTAACAATATCTAGCGAGCCCGAGTCGCCTAGGAATTCCGACAGAGATTTTGCCGCGTCTCACGGACTTCCGCAGGGTCCTAGGTGGGTTAAGAAACGGATTGTTAGAGGCCGGCGGCCACGCAGGACAGAAGCGCCTTCTGTTCAGACGCAGAGGAGAGGTTTGCGGAAGAGAAGTGTGGTATAGCTATTATTTATCCAATGCTGGCCTGGTAATTTGGAGTTTTAAGGGAGCGTAGAAGGATTGGGATACTGATATAATATGTGTATATTAGCTGCTGTGAGAAAATAATTTTAATTTGCATGACCTACTGCGTACTCAATGGCACCGTTCACTTCTCCTTTTCCCCGTTTGTGCTCATTTTTCCGTGCCTATAAAAGTATGTTTTAGCACTTGTCCCGACTCTGGTTAGAATTCCCGCCCATGACATCACAACACGCCCATTGGCCTATGGGGTCGCATCATTACCAATCTCACTGCACAACACCTTGGAACTCTCCACTGCCTGGAATTGATATCAGTAATACATAACTGGGTATACTCACTGAATCCATTCGTTCCATGCCTCATTGTGCCTCCCTCAGACTCCGCAGGTGTCACCCCATAGCATGCGACTCCCTCCATCCTCCTCGGGTAGCTCCATCATCTGTCGCAGTACAGCCCAATCCACACCACCTCTACTATATAAATCTACTCCAATTATCGCCGCAGCTGTCTGGACCAGGTATCCCGCATGTAAGTCGGCGCTCGGCACGTCATCTATCCTTGCATCCCATCGCCCGGAAATAGCTGCCAACCTCCCCCGCATCCAGCACATCCATACATCATCTCATATCACCACCAACTCCAATAAGAACAACACCAGCAACAAGAGGAGAACCAGCAACAACAACAACAACATCCATTTAATAAAAACGCGTATACACCACTTCTCAACCTCACGACGGTGGTCGTCTACTCCAACGCCAAAGATGTCGTCAACATCTACGTTCAAAATCAAGGACCTAACTTCGCTCGACCTTCCTGCTGACAAGATCGAAGTAGAAGTCGAGGGCATCGAGAAGGGAAAACTCTTGCTCTTGAAACATGGCGGCCAGGTCCATGCGCTTACTGCTAACTGTACGCATTATGGCGCGCCGCTGGTAAAGGGCGTTTTGACTCCTGATGCGAGGCTGACTTGCCCGTGGCATGGTGGTATGTATATCCGTTTAGTTAATACCTATTATATTTTTGCAGTTTTCTCCCCTACATACTTTTTTTGGTTCCTTCCGTTTATGTAAATTTAATTGTAATTGAGGAGATATAAAGAGTTGATTGTCGCTAACTAGTATCATATTTTGTTTTTTGCTAGCTTGTTTTAATATTACAACTGGAGACGTGGAAGATGCGCCAGCCCTCAATGCGCTACATAAATATGAAGTGTTCGAGAAAGATGGAAGCGTCTACGTCAAGGCTGACGAGACAACCTTCAAACAAAATGGCAGGCTGCCCATTAGTTCTTGTAGCGTTTCTCAACATGATCAGAAGGTTGTAATTATTGGAGGGTAGGTCTGGAGAATTTTCCCTTCTCTACACCCAACTCCTGCTAATGGCATATCTCTACCCATCCAGCGGAAGCGGAACCATCGGAGCAGTAGAAGTGCTCCGTGAGCACGGCTTCAGCGGCCAAATCACAATAATTTCCAAGGAGCCCAACCTCCCCCTCGACAGAACGAAGCTCTCCAAAGCCCTAATCCCAGACCCAGAGAAACTCCTCCTCAGAGAGAAAGGATGGTATGCCGCGGTCTCCGTCTCCGTGCTCTCGGACGAAGTCACCTCCGTCGATTTCACAAACAAGACCGTAGCGACCAAATCAGGCAAATCAGTTCCGTATACAAAACTAATCCTAGCTACAGGCGGGACCCCGCGCCGCTTGCCACTCCCCGGCTTCAAAGAACTGGGGAACATATTCGTCCTCCGCACTGTGGAAGATGTGCAAGCCATTCTAGCTGCCGTAGGGCCCAGGAAGCAGAAAGAAATCGTGATAATCGGCAGCTCCTTCATTGGCATGGAAGTAGGCAACACACTCTCCAAGGAGAACAACGTGAAAATCGTCGGCATGGAATCCGTACCGCTCGAGCGCATCATGGGCGCAAAAGTAGGACGCGTCTTCCAAACTAATCTGGAAAAGAACGGCGTGAAGTTCTACATGTCCGCCTCCGTCGACAAAGCTACCTCGTCTGACGCGGATCCTTCAAAGGTAGCCGCCGTTTACCTTAAAGACGGCACCGCTCTGCCCGCCGATCTCGTCATCCTAGGCGTCGGCGTCAGCCCGGCCACAGAATTCCTCCGCGATAACCCCAGCGTAACCCTCGAGCGCGACGGGTCCCTCAAAACGGACGAGTACTTCGCTGTCGAGTGTCTAAAGGGCACGAACGGCGATAGCGACGTCTACGCCGTCGGCGACATCGCCACATACCCCTACGATGGACCTGGGGCAGGCCAAGGCGGCCACACGCACGTGCGCATCGAGCACTGGGACGTAGCACAGAACTCGGGGCGAAGCGTCGGACGCACGATCGCCCACTCGTTCTCGAGCAACAGTTCCGTGCCGCTGAAGGCGAAATCGTTCATTCCGATCTTCTGGTCGGCGCTGGGTGGCCAACTGCGCTACTGCGGCAATACGATGAATGGGTTTGACGATTTGATTATTAAGGGGGATACGGAGGCGGGGAAATTCGTGGCATACTATGTGCTGGGTGAGACGGTGGTGGCGGTTTCGAGTATGGGGATGGATCCGATTGTTATGAAGTGTGCTGAGTTGATGAAGAGGGGGAAGATGGTGAACAAGAAGGAGGTGGATGAGGGGGTGGATGTGTTGAAGGTGGATTTGGCATGAGGTGTATGTGCCCTTTTTTTTGGGGGGGGAGGGGTTTCCATGATTAGGAATTAATGGATGGCGTGGCGTTGGGTCGGATTCAGTTTGAAGGGAGTTGGCGATGATAATTCAAGTGAAATATAACTGACCACAAAGAAAAAAAAAAAATCCCAAAACCAAATCTTCATAAATGGAATGCTCTCTATGATCTTTAATCCTTGACAAAAAAGAATAATCACCCCTATATTTCAAAGCATGCCGACATAGCATGCAAAAAGAGACAGCTATGAAGATTAGCGCAAAAAAACAGCGACAATACCAAGGACAAAACATGAGATGAAAACCTCTCCCAGGATATACATGAGACCACATAGCAAATGAGACCGCGAATGGAAAGTGTGGAAAATCGATATCTTCACATGTGCTTCTATAGATCAAAGAAAAAAGGGCAAAGTATGGAGTAGTATATACCAAACCCAACCAAACATCCGGCGTAATCTCAAAATCCCGTCTCCAGCCTACCCCTCAAACTTTGTGCCTACTTCTCATGAGGTCGTCTTCTTCACCTTAGTCTTTTTCTTCTTCTCCTTGTCCTTCCCCTGTTTCCCCGGCACGGGCACGGGCAGCTCCGCCTCCGGTTCCACTTCCATTAGATCATCATCAGCATCATCATCAGAAGCAGCAGCAGCAGTAGCAGCAGCGCTCGGGATCCCCAGCCCACCCGACATCATCGCCCGCGGAGGTACTTCATCACCACTCCTCCCTGCTCCCGCTCTTGCTCTCGCTACCGCCGATGATGATGATGATGATGACAATGGAGCCAACGCAGCCCTTCTCCTCTCCTCTTCTAGCAACTTCGCCTCCTCCACGGCACTCAGCATCGTCCCCTCAATACTCAGAAAGCCCTTATCATGCTCCGCGCCTGGAATGACATCCACATCCCTGACGCGAAACCGGACCATTCCGCGCACTCGTCTTCCCGAGCGCGTCCGGAAATAGCCGGCGGCAGCATCTTCGAATGCTTCAAATGGCGGCTCCATGCCTTCATGGTTATGATTCTGGGCGTTCAGGTCGAGGATTGTAGATGAAGTCGCAGGAAGCGGGCGGAAATTCTCCTTGTCAGAGTCGAAATCTGAATCCTTATCCTCATTGTCGTCATCATCGTCGTCGTCAGTACCGCTGGATCTTTTAGGCGTAGTGGTTCCCAGAGCTGCAGTAGTTGACTCTTCTCCCGGCGCCACCCACTGCCAGTCAGCGGGCAGCCGGCGACGCTCAATGCCTACGGAGAAGAGATTGTACACTACGGCGCCCAGAAAGCCGTCGGATTGCACGTTTATCCATCCCTCGAGCAGCTGGCCGCGCTCTGGGCGGAATATTAGGAACGTAGCTGTCAGATAGACATAGAGGACGCCGTATTCGCCCGCGCTCACGGCGAGGGTTAAGGGCTGTGGGTTTAGGTCTTCGTCTGGGTTGTGGGGGGGGGTTGGCGGGGAGGTTGGTGAGGGAGCGCTCGAGGATATGGAGGCGTTGGAGTAGGCGAGCACTATGCCGCGGAGGGGTGGGTAGTAGGTGAGCAGGAGGGGAGAGAGGTGCTCGGCTTGTAGGGAGGAGAGGGCGTGGGTTGGGGAGATGGAGATTGGGGAGAGAGGGACGTAGAGGGTTGCGGTTATGAGGTGGAAGGGGGACGATTCTGTGGAGTCTGCTGATGTGGATTCCAATTGCGAAACAGAGGCTTTCGAGAGAGGCTTTCTGGAGGTTGTTGGGGATTGGGATTGCGGTTTGGAAGGTTGTTCTTCTTGCTCCCAGTCATCGTTCAAGGCAGCTTGGTGGGATTGGTGTGCAGGCTTCTTGGGCTTCTTAGATCGCGAATTGGGCGTATCTGGCAGCGCTCGCGCAGATGCCTCGAGACCCTCATGATACTTGTGCTTCTTATGCTTCTTCTCCTTCTTCTCCTTTTTCTTCGCTTTTGGTGAAGACTCCTCTACATCTGGCTGTGCGGTGGTGGTGGTCACTTGATGCTTGCGCTTTTTGGCCGAGTGCCTGTCCTTTTCTTTATTTTTGCGCTTTCTCTCTGGTGAAAGGGGAGCGGGGTCGATGTCCATTGCGTCCAGTGACATGGCGCATGCGGATATTCCACCCGTCGTTGTGGCTGCAATGCCTTGTGTGCGTAAACAAGTTTGATGTTGCAGATGGTTAATATTTTTTTCACTTTTCGGCGGAGACTTTTTTTCTGGGGTTGGCGCCAAGACTTCCAACCCGGAACCCAACACAAAGGAGTATGGAAGTAGATAGGTTTCTTTATTACTTTTGGGTTTGCGGAAGACTATCATTTTTCTCAGAGGTGCCGGCACTGCTGAGGAGAAATGTATATCATAGATTAATCAATCCCTTCTTAGAGCTACTTCATTCTTTATCCGCGAAATTTCTCTTGGAACGCTTCGTTGATTATCAATCGACACCTCCTTACCTCCACAGCAAAATGGCCGGCGACGTCCTCTCCACCGTTCTCTCCTACGCCGGCTGGGCTTTTCTCCCAAGAGTGAGCTTTCTTCCCTTCGTAGATATACATATATACAATCCCTATCTAACAAATGCCCAAAACAGTACGCAACTTCCTTCCTCCAAAACCTGTACTACCGCATAACCATTCGCGCCGGTGACCCTCACCCGGTCCCCTCTAGCCCGCGACACGCCCGCCATTACCGCAGAATCTACGTCGTCGTCGTAACCTCCTACCTCCTCTACACCCTTTACGAAGCCTACCACACACTCCGCGCTAAGGGCGACTTCTACCAACTACTAGGCGTGCTCCCCACAGACGATGACCGCACCATCAAATCACGCTTCCGGCGTCTAGCCACCCTGCACCACCCGGACAAGCGCCAGAGCCAGCAGTATATTCTCAACAGTGACGGCACCGGTTATGAGTCGCCCGATGCGCTATTTCTGCGACTGAGGTTGGCGCAGGATACGTTGCTGGACCCCGTGAAGCGGTTTGCGTACGATCGGTTTGGGCAGGAGGTGGTGGAAGGGTCTAAGGCGAAGACGATGGGCGAGTTTCTGTTTGTGGGGTTGCGCGCGCTGTTGCCGCAGTATCTAGGCGGGTTTGTCATGATGGTACTGATGAATCTGTTCTGGTTCTCGGCCTGGGGACGATATGTACGTTTTGTTCTCGTCCTGTTGTTCCCTTGGAAAACCAATCTCTATAATTACACATATATGTCCCTATTCACTCACATACTAACACCACATACAGTGGCGCTTCTACATCTTTTTCGCCCTCCTGACCCTCGAACTCGCCCTCCTCACCCACAAAAACGGCACCTTCATGCCCGCCTCCTACCTACCCCCCTGGCTCTCCACCCTCCTCCATCTAGACATTTTCTACCTCCTCCCTTTCCAAACCCTCACCCTAGCCCGCAACGCCTCCATGACCCTCAATATCTTCATCTCCCAACTGACACCGCCAGACTCGTCGTCCTCCTCAGCAACATCATCATCAAGTGCAGCAGCAGCAAGCAGCAACGGCGGGCTGACAGCGCAAACCCAGACGCAGCTGACGCAACTGATGCATCTTGCGCAGGTGAATGAGGCGGAGGCGACGCGGTTGTTGCAGCTAGGGCTAGCGCCTTTTAAGGGAGATAAGGAGAGTGTTGGGAAGTTGCGGCGGGGGATGAAGGAAGGGCTGGTTTTGGGGTCTGTGAGGGATGCGCCGGAGGTTAAGGAGGCGGTGAGGGTGGTTATGGAGAGGTGGGCTGGGGTGGGGATTTGAGAGGCAGGTTTTTCTCTCTCTCTCTCTCTCTCTCTTTTTTTTTTTTTTTTTTTTTTTTTTTTTTTTTTTTTTGTTTCTGGCTATTGATGATGTATTGGCTTTGCGTTGCTTTTGCATTTTTATGCTTTTTTATGGGATGGTGTTTGGGGTGATGTTTGTTTCCCTGGTCAGTTTCTTCGACGGGAGGTATGTTATGTTTCGATATGTTGCATAGATAGAACTAATTTTTTTTTTGAGGTTCTTTCCTCTTGCAACTGGTTTTTTTTTTTTTTTTCTTTTCTCTCTGCACAATGGATTTTGGCTGTAGCCGGTATGGGCATGTTCATTTAGAGTAGCGAGAATTGGCGATAGACATTACATCATCATCACCATCATTCATCATCAGGCCCTTGAGAGTTCTTTGTCCCTATTTCCTATTAAATGTATACCTACATAATTGCTCCGTTAATTTGCAGTGCCCGTAAGTATATGAAGCTCGAACGAAGACTGTGGAACGAAGGAACGAATACGGTGTGTTCATATATTATTTATCCCTCCCTATTCTAGCATCCTGGTTCTTGGCTCATTGAATGAGCAGGGAATGGCAGAGGGGTATATCCCTGAACCATTCACGCTCTGTTTAAAACAGGCATGTGTGGTTGATTTGACTAGGTTTGGCAGTTTTGGATATTTGTACCTGTATTTCTATTCCTTTTTGCTCCAATGTGCGTGTCTGTATCTAAGCCGCATATACGGAGTAGAAGTTAACATCATCCTGGGAGCTGATGAGCCAGGAATAGGGGCTGCTTAGTCACCACTCGAGTGGCTGTAACAGGTCTAGCCGTGTACACCCGTAAGGCTGCTGTATAATATACACAACAGCTGGATACTTGGCTCTACGTTGCGTACTTGGGCGTAACGAGGCCGTAACAGAACGGTACGGTAACAGGATTCGCTGGAACCTTTCCTTGGCGCTCCCCAGCGCGCGGGTGTATGTTTCTACGAGCGAGACCAAGCCCACGCCTAAGCCTGTGCCTCAGTTTCCGTTTCCTGGTGTGATGGCTGCGCTTCCCGCCCGCTTCCACTTCCCACTCTCGTCTCGCTGGTAATAATAATAATAATAGTAGTAGGTAGGTAGGTAGGTAGTAGCTAACACCACACTCCGGCTTTCTCGTCTCATCATGACAATGAAACTCTCTCTCAGCCCACGCCTGGCTGCCTTCCTATTAATTCTCCCCTCCACCCATCCTCCCTGACTTTTTCTTCCCTTCACCACCACCACCATCACCACCATCACCACCATCACCACGACCACGACTATCACGGCTGTATACCGCCTATCACCACCCAAACGCGAAAACATCACCATCACGCCTACGCGCTAATATCCCCAAGATAGGCTGACCACCCAATTTATCGAGTCGCCTCAACCCACCCACCCCTCCCGTCGTCTCTACAAGGCAGCCCTATCCCCCTCTACGTCAAGCCTCCCTTGGCCGGACAGGAAATTAAATGGGAATTACGCCGCCCGGCAAACCTTCTTTTTCTTGTTTCTTTTTTTTTCATTGGGATTAATTCGAACGCAAATCCCCTTCATTCACCGTTGCGAAGAATTTTTGCCATCCCAAGAAAGTGGCTGGAGCCATCTTCGTCAAACCACTATAGGAAGGGAGAAAAAATTATTGTTGCAATTATTCTACCACCACCAAGCCAGCTTAATAGACATGCCGTCACCCACCAGGGCTCCCTCCTCCTCCTCCACCCCATCCACCTCCTCCTTCTCCGGCGGTAGATCGTCTTCCAAACCCTCCTCCGCAAAAATGACAAACCCACTCGTCCTCAAGCTCTCCTCCTCACTCCTCTCGCGCTTCCCCGGCACCACCACCACCTCAACGCCAGAGGGGCCTCCCATAGAAGACAACAAGACCAAACCCAAAGCTTCCTCTTCGCCTTCATCGCCATCCTCCTCTCCGTCCTCAACCCCCGCCTCCGCAGCGGCAGAAGCTACCCCCACCGTGGCTGCACCCGTCTCCTCTGCTGATAATGTTTCAGACGCAGCTTCCACACCCGCCGCGGCTCTGCCAGAGGCCCAGAGACGGAGAGGGGTCCCAGGTCCGAAACCTGGGAGCAAACGGGGTCTAGGACAGGGTGTTGACGCCAATATCACACCGAGACCAAGAGGGAAGCCTGGGCCGAAGAAGAAGCCGAGATTGTACGTTTCCTTCCCATTTTCCACCGTTTATTCGAACCTCTTATTCGCTTTTTTTTCTCTCCTCCTTTTCGTCCAAAATTTACACCACCTCAAACAAAAATTGCTAACATGAGAACAAAAATATTACAGAGAGGACGGTTCCATCGACCCCAGCTCTCGCCCTACCCCCGGCGGAGGCACCTCCGGCACAGGTACCGGCCATGTGCCGACACCAACACACAAACTAGGCCCCAAAGCGAACCAAGGCGCTATCAACGCGGGCCTGCGCGCCCTCGACCGCACAGGCAAGCCATGCCGCAAATGGGAGCGGAAAACGTTTAACCTCAAGAGTTTTACGGGGGTTGTTTGGCAGGTCCCGACGTGGGCGGCACCGCCCAGGCCTGATGCTACTGCTGTTGTTGTTAATGGTGATGGTGGTAGTAGCATGGAGGATGTACAACCGACGGGACCGCGGAAGGAAGGGACGGAGGGACAGCAACAAGAGCAGGGCACCAGTGGTGGTGGGAAGGATGCGGATGGTGCCACGTTTAATATGGCCAATGGCACTGGTGCTGCTGCTCCCGCTTCCTCTTCTGCAACTGCTCCTGCTGGCAGCAGCGGCGCGCCCGCCATCGACGATGCTGATAGCAACGCGAATCAGAGTACGGCTAGCGCCTTTGCGGGTGAAGAGAAGCAGAGTTTCAAGGATCGGGATGGAGATGGGGATGTGACCCCGTTACTGCCGCTAGCGACGACGACCACATCGAGGGCAGATATGAATGCCGATTCTAATGCTAATAATTCTAATGATAGTGGTGATGCTGCCGGTTCAGCTACGGCTGTTTCTGTCGCCGTTGTCTAGTGGTGGGTTGGGTGGTTGAAAAGTTGAAAAAGAAACTTCACCGTGCCTCTGTTTTCTGTCCGTCCTTGGTCCGGTCGATCTACCTGTCGAGCATAGAATTCTCTCTTTTTTTAATTTTCCTTTGGATGTCGGTGTCCCGTCTCGATTCTGCCGGCAAAAGGGGGGATTGTTTTTTCTTCCTCCTTTTCTGGTATGACTACCCCTTCTCATCCTCATCACCTTGGGTTTATTCTTTACTTTCATCCTCATCTGCTGATTCCAATGTACCACTTCCTTTCTCTGTATCATATTTTTGCCCTATTATATGAGGGGTTTTTTTCTCTCTCTCTGCACTTTCGTACGGTTATAAAGGGTGTGTTTTTCTTCTACTTTTTGTTTCAACTTTATATTTGATAACCATCCTTTCTACTACCGTCTCTGCTAATCGGTATTTGTCATTTGGTTCTTTTCTATTTTACCTGTTTTCCTAATAAATGTCCCTGCCTACCTACCTACCTTGTACAGCCTTCTTCCGTTCCTCCACCACTCTTCTTTCTTCTTCCTTCTTTTATTTTTCTACTTTTCTTCTTCCTCTCGTCCGACTGACTGCCAGCTACACATACATACATACACATACATCTCAGAAAGGGGAAAAGGCAAAAAAGCAAAAAAGCAAAAAAGTATTTTGAAAGAGCGGGTTGGGCATGCATCTTCATTTTTATATTTCAATATTCGTTTCACTTCGTTTTGGTTTGTCTTTTCGGGTCTCTATCTAGCACGGGATCGTTTCTTTTCTTTTTGCTCTTGGCAGACCGGACTCAGCAAAGCGGGGGATGGATTGGAGAATTAATATGGTTGTATTTTATGATATTTTCTTGTCGTTTGGCTTTTTTTTCTTTTTTTTAATGGTGTCTGAGGGCAGGATGGGGAAATGGACGGATGGGAGATACAATATAGAAGAGGAAAAAAAGAAAGACGCATATGCTTGGTTTTTCCGTTCTGAATATTTTTCTTCTATATTTCTCTAGTTTTCCCTTTTGCTTATGTATATAGATAGATGGACTTTTTTTTCCCTTCCAGCAGGTACAGACCGGTTTGGTGGATTCTGGGGTTTGGATTCTGTACACACATACACACTGGATAGGTACTCGGGCGACTCTGGAGGATGGACGTGGACGTGCCTATACTCTAAATAGTTCGATAATCCGCAAGGGAATAAATAGAACACGCCTCTTGCAATCCCTCCCTGTCGTAACATGGAATACGAGGAGGAGAAAGTCGGAGGAGGAGGTAGCTAGTCATGTAGCATTTGCTAGCCCCGACCCCGACCCCAGGCTTCGCTGAGGAATCGGTAATACTGCACCGAACTAGATTATTTGAAATGTGAGAGACGAGCAGGTAGTTTCCCCGTCCCCGTGCCAGTCAGCGCGAAGAATGATCGTATCGGTTCAATGTAGGTTGGAGAATGTGGTAGTAGTAAGCAGTGGTGGTGGTGGTGGTTGGTGGTTGCGGTGGTAGTTGCCGGCCTGGCTGGCTCTAAATACATAATAAACCCTCAACTTATCAGACCACCAGTTAAGAAATATTTAGACTGTTTCACCGGGGAATTTCCCTTTTTCTTTATATATTTATATGTCTATTATTTTTCTGCTGCTGCTGCTGGGAAATGGAGGTTGGTTTGTTTTTTCGAGCGATATATATATCTGGGCTAATAATACAACATACTTAACTATTTAATAATAAAACTACTTACTACTCCACACATCATTCTAGCCTCTCCCTCTTTCTTTCTGTCCCTAGCGACCAAAGCGCCCAAGACGACGGGGAGAAGAGAAGAATAAGGAAATACGTCTTTCTATCCATCGTCCATCAACCATCACGGACGTATAAAAAGGCAACGAATTTACTCATTGCTGAGTCTGAGCCTGAGCCTGAGCCTGACCAGAACCCAACACCTGATCGAGCCATCTGTCTGTCGGCAATACTTCTGATAGATTATATTAGTTATATATAACTACACAGCAGTCCTCGTGGTGTTGCCGTGAGGTCATTGTCCCATCTAGAGTCCACACCACCGCCTCTAAGTTATCTGCTCCACTACCACCACTATCACCACCACCACCACCACCACCACCACTACACCTGATCACCACCACCACCACCACAACCTCGTTTGTCTTTTCTCCTCTCCCTCCCTCTCTATCCTACTACTATGTCAAATAATGCTCCTCCTGGCTCCGGTGGCGGGGGTCCTCCAATCTCCTATCCTGCACCGCCGCCTTCTTTCTCGTCCATGCCCCGACGCTCGTCCTATGCTTCTGTTGTCTCTGGCACCGCTGCTCTAGCCAACTCCACCCCATCCAATACTAGCAATATACCGACGGCCGCCAATACAACCTCCTCCTCCTCCCTAGATCCAGCTTCCTCCCAAAACCTTCTCCAACACCAGCAGCAGCAACTCTTCCAACTACTGCAAATACAACAACAGCAACAGCAACAGCAACATAATCCTCGACAACATCAGCAACATCCGTCGGCCTGGTCAGGTCCGCATCCTCCGTCTTTCCTCTCTTCTTCTTCAGCATCCGGCGCTACTCCAAGTAACTCTTTCCCCCCGCACTACATTCCTCCCGATTCTCGAGCACATAGCAGTGGCAGACACGTCTGGGTGGACAGTAGTGTCGCCCATAACAGCAACATGCAGCCAAACGGTGCCAGTGGCGGGGGAGGAGGCGGAGGAGGAGGGGCTGCAGGAAGCCCATGGAGGAGATCTCTCCCTCCCAACAGCACAAGCACAAATCCTGCAACTACATCCGGTCTCCCCTTTTACTCGCGGCAATTCGCAACCTATCCAGACCACTACTCCCCGTCTCCTTCGCCATACACAGGTTTCCTGCACGGTCCCTCCTCCTCCCCTGCTACCTCCTTCTTCACCCCCTCATATCTCAGAAACTCCAAATACATCGCGCAGCTCGCCGCAGCACATAGATCCAACACCTTCAACGCCGCCACATCCTCCTCCTCCTCAGCCGCAATATCATCTACTCAAAAGGACTCCGCTTCAAACCACTCCTCAGCCTCCACCTCCTCAAACACCGCCGCCACCGCGAATAATGCTGCCCGCGCTACAAATACCAATACCAGCTCCAACACCACACCAGGTGCGCCCCCACTCTCCACCAACTCCAGTAATGTAAACCTCCACCGCCTCGCCCCATCCCACCGCGGCATGACCCACGAGATCATCGAGCACCCCCCCTCATCATCAGACGATGAGAGCACCCCCATCATGCCCCTTCCCTCCCGCTGGAGTGATCAGTATAAAAACGCAGGCCTGGACCTGCTGAGCGATGGCCTGGAGGTGCGGTACTTGGGCAACCCTCTTAAGCTTGATCATGAAGCTGCGTCGTGTCGGGCAGACCATCCAATGCCGCCGCAGTGCGGCATTTATTACTTTGAGGTTACCATCATGTCGAAGCCGAAGGATGGGTACGTGTTTATTTTATATATATTATATATAAGTCTATATATTCGATATTTAGTATGGGTAAAATGTGGTTTTAGCTAATATATTCGTTTTAGGATGATATGCGTGGGCTTCACGAGCAACAAAGCATCTCTCGAACGATTACCGGGCTGGGAGCCGGAATCCTGGGCTTACCACGGCGACGATGGCAGGACTTTCTTCGGCGAGACGCAGGGTCAGGGTACGCAGTATGGGCCCAAATATTCGGTGAATGATACCATTGGCTGCGGGGTGAATTTCTCGACGAGTACTGCTTTTTTCACGAGGAATGGGGTGTTTCTTGGTATGGCATTATCCACACCCCCCCCCCCCCCCGGGGTTACTTTTTGGACTACCAAACACAATATCCATGTATTAAAGGTATGGGGGATTGCTAACAGTTTCGTGTGTTTGAATCAGGTGATGCGTTCCGGGAACTGAGGAATGTGAAGCTATATCCTGCCGTTGGGGTGAAGAAGCAACCCACCACGCATCTAAAGGCGAATTTTGGCCAGTCTCCTTTTATCTATGATATTGATGGGCTGATGGAGGTAAGGCTACTACTCCTTTTCTGAAGAGACGAAAACATTTATTACTCCAGTGGTTGTCTGATCTTCCGAATGCATGCTAACAATATTATTTACTTTTGCTCCAGAGGGAGAAACTCAAAGTTCAAGCGGACATAAGGGCTACTAGTATTTCTAATTTGCATTCGTCCCTCGACGAGACGACGTTTATCCAGGAACTCGTGGCTCAATTTTTGGCGCATGGTGGCTATGTAGAGACCGCACGAGTATTTGCTGAAGAGGTCCAGGAGGAGTCGCGGGCTTTGCAGAATGGGCGAGAGACGCCGTTAAAGGATTATCAGGCTGAGGAGGATGGTGATGCTATTAAACGACAAAGTAACATTTCTATCCCCAACTCCCTCTCTGATCCCTTTTTTTTTTTTTTTTTTTTTTTTTTTTTTTTTTGAGGGTGTTAAATGTACTGACACTTATTTTTCAGGAATCCGTACTGCCATTTTGGACGGCGATATCGACAAGGCTTTAAAATTAACAAATGCCTCGTACGCCGACGTCCTCGTCAACAATCCGCAGATATACTTCCGCCTCCGCTGTCGGAAATTCATCGAGATGATGCGCCGTTGCACTGAACCACAACCTACTACTTCCTCGACGTCCAAACAGGCGCCCCGCTCACCCAATGGCGCTACCTCTATGTCAGTATATGATACTAGCGATGATGTCTTCGCGCACGATATGGAATTAGACGAGCAGATGAACGATGTCATCGACGATGACGACGAAGACGATAATGGTTCTTTAGAAGCCGGTGGGAGACATGACGATCGTGATGATAATGACGACCAAGCCCTGGACGACGACGACGACGACGACGAAAACGGCATGGACGTCGAAGAATCAGCCGAGTACAACGGCACCCCGCGCACAACGACACAGCCACAGGCGGCAAACGTAGCAAACTACCACGGCCTCCTCCACAAAGCGATCTTATACGGCCAGGAGCTGCAGGCTGATTACCCCGGCGACGAGCGGCGGGAGTATAAGCGGGCGCTGGACGATATATTTTCACTAGTCGCCTACTCGAATCCCAAGTCGAGCGTGCACGGGCATCTGCTTGAGCCGAGCGGGCGCGTGCCGGTGGCGGAGGAGTTGAATTCTGCGATTCTGGGTGAGTTTTTCTTTTGTTATTTTCTTCTCTCATAGCAGTTTTACTTTATCATCATCCCATTCCCTACGCACCCCGCCTCTATTCTACGATGATATGCTAATCTAGACAAAATTAATCGTGTATAGTATTCCTTGGCAAATCCTCATCCGCCGCTCTAGAGAAGCTATACCAACAGACAGAGGTGCTGGTAAATGAGATCAGCGAGGACGGCGGCGCTGGGGCGTTTATTAATGTGCGGCATGATTTTGTGATATAAAAAAGACCATCAGCAGCCAGCAGCAACGACAAAACGACAAAAACGACGTTTGTAGCATTTGCAGTATGCAGTATGCAGTATACAGGACGGAGTATTCTCTGATGTAATGGAGCACGATGGGGGTGTGCGTGTGTTTATTTTTATTTTTATTTTATTTTTATGTTCTTTTCCTCTCTTCCATTATTATCCCATTCCACAGGCTGTTCCTTTTCTTTTCTTTTCTTTTCTCTTTTTATTCTTTTTAATTTTCAATTTTTTAGTTATCCATTTTTCCCATTATTATGTTCCCTTATTCATCCCATCTCTCTCCTCCATCCCCTCCCCTCCCCCCCCCCCTCCCCTTGCCATTCCCCCGCCTCCCACTCCCTGCCTTGTCACTCTCTTCCCATCCAGCACACCAACATCAATTTATTCCAATACCTCTCGAACACTCCATGCTCTCGTTGTGCTAGGTAAACAAGAAGGGGGGGGTTGGCTGGTGTGCCTCTTTTTCTTTCTGTCTTTCTTTTATCTTCCCGTGCTGGTATCATATAGTTAATATCGTCGAAGTCATGGGCACACACATCATCCTGAAGAACAGGCTGCGAAATGGTGAGAAGAAGGAAGTAAGGGAGGAAGGGGAAATACAAGGTAGGGTAGGGAAGGGAAGGGAAAGGAATGGAAAGGAATGGAATGGGGGAAATTACAGATTAGTGAGCGTGTGTGTGCTCAGATGGAAACATTTATGGTTTTCTTTTCTCTTTTCGTGTTTCTGCAAAAGAGAGGTAGGTATTCATCAGTTGCATCCTCATCATTAATTTTCTTTATGTTTATATTTATATTTATATTTTTATTATTATTACTGGACTTGTTTTCTTTGGTTCCCCCTCTGAAGTAAACCACCAACTACGCCTCTTTATATTTCTCTATTGCAAGCTTATGTTGCATCTGATATAGCGGGTATGTAGTGAACATGAATATGAATTTGGGAATTGGCTTTTCATTAACTATAGCTAATGAGTTGACAGGGCTTTTTGTTTTCTTTTTCTTTTTCTTTTTCTTTTTCTTTTTCATTGAAAACTTTTGTTTCTTCAGCTCTTTGTCTCTCTTATTTTCTAGCCCTGCTAAAATATAAATAGAACTCAAAACACTACCATGAGTAGTTAACTCTCTGTGCATTTTTTTCATTGATTCTTTTCCTTTCTTGTTCCTGGATTTTGATCAGTACATGGGTAGATGAGCATCCATTACTCACCCTCAACTAACTCAAAGAGTGATTGATGAAGATTTAAGAGGACAGCTACATGGAGTTTGACTGCAAGATGGAAGTTAAAGAGGCGACGAACGGTAGGTAAATGAGAGAAGAGGATTACTGTAATTCTTGAGAACTGAGGGGATATGTCTAGGTATAACTTTACAATTCCTCTCATTTATTCATCGTTCTCTGACTTCGCTGCCTCATTGAATTGCGGACGCTGTTTACCTTCAACCAATAATGCTACAGAGCAACAAAACCCCCGAGCTTCTTGGCCCTTGGATATCTTAATATCTTCCCTGCCCTGGTCTCTGCATGGTTGCTGTCATCATCTTCTTCTTCTTCTTCTCCTCCTCCTCCTCCTTCACCAAGCAATCTATCATACCACCCTCGTTCGTTAGATGTATGCGTTTACCCCAGCACCACACCACACCACCACTACCCTACCTAGATTTATGATCCAGGACAAACTAACTTATGGACGACGACCCCATCCGCTATCCCGCCGGCTCCCCGGGCGCCTAGGCTCCCGACCAACCAGTCCTCCCCTCCCTCCTGCTGCACTTTAATCAAGGACGAGCGGAGTCCGCGTCTGAGTCCGACTGAGTTCCGAGTCTAGAGTTGGGTCGTTAGGGTCGAGAACAACACTGCACTGCACTGCACCTAAGGTAGCTCGCTCCGTAAGGGTCCTTAATTACCTAGGTAGTTATGTAGTTACTGTAGTTAAATAATAACTACCGAACTAACTTAAGGAAACCCCCGTTCAAGCGTATTCGTTCACTCAAATCCAAACCGTAGCCGAGACTTCAGGGAGGAGAGGGGAGAGATCCATTGGAATATTTTGCTCATCGTGGTACGGTACGGTAAGTATACTCCGTACATACATGGGCAAATTTGTTTTATTTTCGATCCAATATTAATAATCAATTCCCCAACCGCCCTTTGGATACATCATACCCGGGGAGAGAGTTGAGCGGACCCGCTGGTTAAACTAGAGGTTATACGGGGGCTTCCTGCTAGCCATGATATTTATCCTAAGGAGGAGTCTTTCCCCCCATTAGGTCAATTTTTTCAATTTCTTTTCAATTTTTTTTTCTTGGACTTTGACTAGTTGATGAATATTTAGATACCACCCTCCCTTTTCCTGTACATATATATCTTTCCTATATCGCCGTCCGTTGTATAAATATATATACGCCTAATCTACAGTACGAAGTTCCACAGATGAGATAATACCTCCCTCCGGATTCGGATTATCAAGTTACCTCACCATTCTATGAGGTAGGGAGAGGGGAGAGATAGCATATACATACATTAAGAAAATCCCTCCCAGCATATAGATGGCTTGTCTGCAACGGCCAAATTCCCCAGATGCCATCCCATGGCAATGGCCATGGCCATGGCGGGAAAATAAGAACCCGCCCAAATGGCTGCACATCCGCTCGTCCAAGTGGTTTATTCTCTGGGTGTGCTCATTCTCGGTGTTTGCGGTATGTGTGGATGAACGCAAATTTATCGTTCTAGACAACCGGAAGTTCCCGCCTATTCGACTGAACTAAACTAGTTGGCTAACCGATTGGATTGCTTGTTGATAGGATATATTCCTATATGCATTGGTACGCTACTGGCTCATTTGATTTCCTTAAATTTTGGATCCAATATAGTTGGATACAATTGGATGGATGACTCTGGAGTTTAGAGAGCGCTCTGACGGGGAAAACTTGATCAGATCGTGCCGGTGATACCGTTCGCGCTTAGTTATCGGGTTGGACTTGATCCCAGTGATGGTGAGCAATTCCCGTTTCCCTTCCCATCCGAAAACCTGTGCCGTGGCTGATAGATAGATATATATCCGTAGCGCAAAAATGGACGTCAATTCTCCTTACCATATATGCGGGAGGTTTGCTCGTTGGATCGCGTTAGTGTCTCTGATTCCATTTCCATGCCAGAGAAAAGATACCCACACCAGTACCCGTTCCATGCTCATGTTCATGGCTGACATGTTTTCTAGCCCTTTGTGGGTGGTGGGCGGACAAGACCAAAGCCCGCCAGGTTCCTTTCATCGTTGGCCTTTTGCTCCTGGCGGGTGCAACCGTGATGTTCGCACTCGCAAGGAATTTGGCCTTGTTAGTAGTCGCCCGAATCCTACAGGGCCTGTCAGGTGCAGTTGTGTGGACCATCGCACTGGCAATGATGGCGGATAGAGTTGGATCACAGGAAATCGGAGCGCACTTAGGAACGATTGTCGCCGCCCGAAGCATTGCAACGATCAGCGCGCCATTGATAGGCGGCATTGTATATGCGAAAGTGGGGTATTATATGGTATATGTTACCGCCTTCATTTTCCTAGGGGCAGATATTGTTTTTCGGCTCGTCATGATTGAAGCTCGAGTTGCGCAAAAGTGGGATCCGTCAATAGGTCTGCAGTTAGCTCGGGAGCATTTTTCTACCCAAAAACTGGAAGGGCCTGAAAAGGTGTCCCAAAAAGAAGACGAGGCAAGAGCTTTCACTGTTGCTCAGCCTCGGGGGAGTAGGATTTCTCGTTTGGTCCATTACCTACCACCATTCATTACAGTGCTAAGCTCGATTCGCCTTGTCATGGCTCTCTGGGGCTGCACAGTTTTAGCCATATTATTTGGAGCCTTCGAGGCTACTATCCCCCTGTTCGTTCATTCCACATTTCACTGGGACTCTGCTGGTGCCGGGCTCGTTTTTCTGGCAGTCCTTATTCCTACCTTTATATCTCCTGCCATAGGCTGGCTGGCCGACAAGCATGGAACACGCTGGTACGTCGCTATAGGATACCTCCTCACTACGATCCCAGTAATTCTACTCCGCATCGTGACACAGAATACCCTGTATAATAAGATCGTTTTCTGCGTTCTCCTCGCTTTCTCTGGCGGCTTGGCAATGTTGTTTGAAGTCCCAGTACAGATCGAAATCGTCCTATCCGTCGAGGAGAAGATGCGAGAGAACGCCGCACATTATGGAGAACAGGGGGCATATGCACAGGCGTTTGGGTTAGGGAATTTGACGTACGCTCTTGGGCTGATTATTGGCCCACTTTGGAGCGGATATGCTGTTGAGGGCGCAGGATGGGGTGTGGTGACGCTCACGCTTGGAATTATGTGTTGCGTCAGCGCGGTGCCGGCCGCTATTTGGACGGAGGGAAATATATTCAAAAGAAAAAAGAAACCCAATAGTGGAAGGGAAGGAGAGGGAGAGCGGCAGGAGGTATCTGCATCTGTGGGAACCGCATCGGCGTCAGATTCCCATGATACTGCTCAAAATAGACCAGAGCCTGACTCAATTATCGTTCCCCCATCTGCCGTTTAGGCTCTTTGCTTGTTGGCTTATAGAAGCTATTCGGTTCATCCAAATTGGTCACTAGTTGGTGGATGCCTCGAACCACGATTTTTGGGATAAGATCTCGGACGAGGGAATTCCTTTAACGCAGAAGAATGCGTCTGACCGATAACCAATTTGGCCACTATCAATGAAACATACCCCCATGCGGGCTTCAAATCACGAAACGTGCTGAATGCAGGTACTCTGTTATATAGTTATATAGTAGGAAGAACGATGTATATACCCTTTTGTACATATATTTATGACAAAAACGAACCTCAAGATGAATGTGAGAGTGACGAGGAGCCTTAAATTTCGTGATGAAAACTCCACATCTCGAAAAAAGGACCAACTCAAAGGGCCAACACCAACACCAACCAACGCCGGCCTCCTAAAATTCTTAGCCATACCACTCGGCTGACTGCATGCGGTTGCATATTTATTTTAATCCAACGTCGCTGATAGGTAAGGAGGCTGTTTTGCTGTCAATTTAATCCAGAAACTCGAAACTCATCAACTGAGCATGTTGAAATATTGCCGAGTTGAGGCTCACGCCGATCTTGCTTGCTAGGGACATTCACTATCTGGGAAGGAGCGACCCATGATGGGCTACTAATACCCAACAATCCGATCTTGGTAATTCTTCGATCAGCTGAGAAAGGAAGGCACCATCCCAGTTGGGTTGGTCGGTGGTTCCTTCTTTGTTTAGACGGGAATTTCAAAGCTTTGGCCGCGGTTTATGTGAAAACACGGCAGAAGCGACGAGATAAACACTAGTTAAATACTAGATGCTCGCTTTGAAAGATTATACCCGCATTGCAGATAGCATTATCCTGTACGCTGTCGCCGATCCTTTTGGTTAATTTTGCCGAAAAACCTATTTCCTCAGTCCTGACTTGATAAGGCTACTTACTCCACAGAAACCGCGTGAAGCCTTGCAACCAGTGAAGAATTCTTTCGTTTGTTCCTTTTGAGTGTGAAAATACATGGCTGAGTAGCCTGGCACGCGTGCGTTTCACAGGACATTCTTTCATTTTGGAGTGCTTGGGTAAAACGGCCGATGGGGCAGTACTCGCGGGGTTGAAGATACTTTGGCTAAGAGTCAACGATAACACCTCCGAAGATGAAACGACGATTATTCAGGTTCGAAGAAATGGTCTTTTTCGTCGTGTTCCTTTTCTTAGAAATCAGTTTGGTCCACGCAGCTTGCGAATGCGGGTTCTCCATGGACGACACAAAAGATTACTTCACACATGTTATATACAACAATTTCAGCACATTGTCACCGTCGAAAAGGCTCGGTTCAAATCCGGATTTCATAAAGGATTGGGTCATTCAGGACTGGGGTGTTCCTCCGAAAGGCTGGGTGAAACCTTTGGCGATCGATAATGCAAAAGAAAACGTTTTCCTCCGTGAAGGCAACCTTGTATTGCGACAACAGGGGTACTCGAAAGAACAAGCTTCGAAGAAAAGAAAAGTGAGTGTGGCTTCTATTGCCAGCCAGAACGGCGACATTATCCACGGTAGTTTTCGGGCTGAGCTGAAGCTGGAAAATGCGAAAGGTGGAAGCTGTGGCGCATTCTTTTGGTATCGTGTGAGTAGCTATTTCTCAATTCTCTTCACTTTTCTTTTGGAGAATATGATATTTAGAGAGGGAGGGTAAGCACAAGCTAAACTCTTTGGGTCGAGTTGTTCTTGGAAGACAGGACGACGAGAACGAAATTGATATCGAAATTCTCTCAAGGGAATTCAAATCAAATTGGTTTCCAGTCCACTATACAACACACCCCGCTCTGGACGAGAATGGACAAGTCATCAGCAATGCCACGAAAGTGATTCCACTACGCGACAACGATTTGCTGAACTCCTTCCAAAGACATCGGTTTGATTGGACCCCGGAGGAGTTGAGATTCTACCAGAACTCAACACAGGTGCATTCAAACAATCTGCGAATTCCACACGCTCCGGGCCATGCGTACTTGAACGTTTGGGCAGACGGCGGACAGTGGAGCGGTGCACCAAGCACAACCGATGTATTTTTGACCATCAGGCTTATCGCGATTTACCACAATACATCCAAGAGTGATCAAGGGCTCGACAGAGCATTTAACGAGCAATGCAAGAAGGCGGGAGGGCCATCGAATGTAACAATATGTCTTGATACGAGCATTGAAAGTGGGATGGTAGACCCTTCATCGTCAGCATCAACGGTTGTCCCGTTGCAAATTTGGATTCTTTCGTTGTTATGTGTAGCTTTAGCCGTTGTTGTCTCAGCTCTATGAGATAATCAGTCAAGGATACTTTTGGTGAACCTATCGAATTTAATAAATAGTATGATACCTTAGGGCTTTATAATTCTACCAGCCCCCATACCACATCCAGTTTCTATGGCTTTCCGATTCATGGCTGCTTTGCATATAATGGTTTTCGTCAAGTTCTTTCATAGCAGAAGCCTGTTGTCTTATGTAAACCTGGTGCTTGCAAGGTTCCAAACTTTGCTCCAGTATTCGATCCGAAGATGCAGTGTCAGAGGGCGGACGCTCATTGGTGTGGAGAGTTCTTGCTTGATTCCTTGGAAGGTTGGCCGAAATTGCTGTTGGCGCGGATATCAACGGAGGCCGGAATTTTTGCCGCCCAACCCCCACCTAACCTCGGGGGAGTGCTCCAAGCAAACCCTGGAAATGCGGGGAACGCCATCTTTTGTGCTTAAATTTAGGTTAACGGTACCTTGTGGGGCCCTTTTCGGGATTTTTTTTCTTTTTCTTTTTTTGTTCTCGATGGGATTCACTGATCCGAGTGATGGATATGATTGGTAAGAAGAGGGCAAAGGAACAGCCTGGGCCTGAGCTCGCCCCTCGCTATCAAACCCTAGATTGGTAATATATCTTCATATACGTAGTTATGAATTATCTTTGGCTGACCCATGCCTACGCCGTATTGCTTTTCAGCCATTTCACGGAAAAATTCGCTGGGACAATCTTCAATTCTGATCTCCATCATGTCCGTCTGAGGGCAATCGCTGCCGAAATCTTCTGGATATAGTCCTGGTTTTTGAGGTGGAATAAGCCTGCATCGATTTAGACTTGGTGTGTAAGGGGTATTCGATGCTTCTGTAAAGTCTCCTTTGGTCTGGATTGAAATGGCACCTTTACCAAGCTGCGGGTTTGAACTGGCAACCAGTGATCCTGGAGAGATAAATATTTGGACGAGCTTTCGGGGTTAAGAGAAGTTTGCATCTGCAGATACGCTGCCTAGCAAAATATACATGCAAGACATGTAAAGCTGTATTCCACATCTTTGCATTGATTCATTGATGCATCCTGTTTGCCAGGTTGGGCAGATCATGTCGCGTAGGGGAGGGATTGGATGGACTCTCGAATTGTCACTGAAAAGTTGAAAGGCGACCGGGAACAAAATGGGGTGTAAGCCATCAAGAGAATAGCATTTCCACATTGACTGCCTCGTTGCCTATTTGAGTGACTCAGAGAGAAACTTAACTTAGGTATGTGTGCATACAAATTACGCTCCATTTCGAGGTTAGGGTCAGCCTAGCCATAACTGGAATAGCGTCTTAACCCTTTTCTAACCTCAGTCAAACCTTCAAGAGCAGAACCTCGCCTCTGCTGTGTTGATGAAGGCCATGATGCCACCAGTTATGCACCTTGGGAGGCTTGAATATGATGCTTTTACTCTGATACTAGGTGCATAACCCATTCCGAACAAGGTCACATCACCTGATATGAGCCTGCTGCTTAGATCCCCGTTTCTTCTTTATCCGTTTCGTAATAGTGGTTCGCGAGGCCGGTATCAATTCCGGCCTCATGAAGTATATAATCCGCCACCATCTCCCGCAGTTTTGACTGTCTTTCTGTTCCTCAAGAAAGCACCTTTTCGTTCCATTGTTCCCTTTTCTCTGCTTATTTTCTGTTGTTGATCAATTAAATTTCCCTTTTAAGTTAGACTCTGTCTATTATACTTTCAAGTACTTTGGTTCCATATATTCATTCCCCCTTTTCACCTCCACCCCCAAGTACACCTTGTCACAATTGATCGACAAGATATATTGCCAACTATCATCTGAAGTAACCATGAAGAAGTCTGAAGCACCTTGTTCTACCTTGGAACACTTCCCCCACCTATTCGACACCCCTGACAAGCTCTCGAGAGACATCGACCCCTTTACCATCACCACCTCATCGGGGTTCTTGCCTTTCGAGCTTCCTCCTGTAACCTTGCCTGATGCTTTCAAGGCATTGGACTCTTTGACTTCTCGCCTGCCTGTCGTCAAGGCAGACGGGTCACCTGGCCTCCTAGCTACTTATGAGCTTGGCCCAGCTGTCCTTGCTGAGCTTCCTGACCTTACTGATGAGGTGGATAAGCTCCTCACAGAGGATGGTAAACCGGATAGATTTATGATCACAGCTGTATTCAGGGATTATACATTCGTCTGCTCTGCTTACTTACTAGAACCGTGCTATGAGAAATGGTCCAAAGACCCTGCTGGCGGTTATGGGCTTGGCCGGGATACTTTGCCGAAGTGTATCGCACGACCTCTTTATCGATGCTCCGAGATGTAGGTTGTAACTCTGACATTCTCCATATTTTGTTTATTATTACTAACGCTGTCTCTTGCAAGCCTCGACGTACCGCCCTTCATGTCGTACGCAGCTTCTTATGCGTTGTTTAACTATACCACTGCTGATCCCTCACTGGGGTTAGAGTACTCTAATCTTAGGCTCATTCGTGCTTTTGAGCGTGGACTTGATCCCAAAAGCTCCGAAGCGGGATTCATTCTGACCCATGTTGATATGGTAAAGGAGTCAGCTGCCTTAGTCAGTGGCGCTGTCCGCATACTCAACAAGCTGGAGGAAAGTAAAGAACCCTCGTCTCGGGAAGAAGTTAATGACGCCTTCAGGGAAATTCTCAAGGGGATGGCGAAAGTTGAAGCTTGTATGGAAGGTAAGTTGTATTGCTCCCACTCGATGAAGCAAAGCATTCATTCATAACCCTCTAAATAGATATGTGGAAGAACTCCAAGCCTAGTGATTACCTCTCGTTCCGCGTATTTATCTTTGGTATCACATCTCAGGCAATGTTTCCAAATGGCGTCGTCTATGAAGGCGTCTTAGATAACAAGCCGCTAAACTTCCGTGGAGAGAGTGGCGCTAACGATAGCATGGTAAAGATCCCTTGATTCCACTTAATGCTCTGGGTATTTTATAGCTGAGTTGCCCTTCATGCAGATTCCGCTACTTGACCACCTTCTCCAAATTCAAATGCCATCTACACCATTGACGACAATTCTACATGAATTCCGCGCCTACCGTCCGCTTCCACACCGTCAATTTTTGGCACATGTGGCATCCAAGGCAGAGGAGGTTGGCGTTCAAGAATTTGCCGTCCAAGACGCGGAAACAGTACTATTGTACCTGAAAGCCCTGGACCATGTCCGGAGTTTCAGATGGAGGCATTGGCTGTTGACGCGAGAGTACATCATTAAGCGAACGCCATATCCAACAGCAACTGGCGGAAGCCCAATTATCACGGTACGTGAAGTAATTGTTATCGCATGAACCTCTGACGAATCATATATATCAACGCGCTCCCTCTTTCCGTTTCCAATCCTGTCGCAATAACCTAGACATTCAGTTATGACGTACGTCGTGACTGAAACTAACACCATCAATTGCAGTGGCTTCCTAACCAACTTTTCGCGGTACTGGATCTCATGATCTCAATTCACGACAAGTATGTCGCTCCATTTACCAGCAAGGATCTCCCTACTGTCGTCGGCACGAACGGTGCCCAGAACGGAGCGGCTCCCTCTGAGCAGAAGAAGGTCGAGAAGCTGGAGTCCTTCTACTACTATCGAGCTCAGACAGAAGAGATGATGACGCTTGTGCGTGATCAAAAGGATAAGCTAGACAGAGAGGTCGCTAGATGGTGCCAGGAGCGCGGTGTATGAATTATATATGGGATAATTTCTATGTCTTAAAACACCCATTCTTGCGCCTATTTGTGGCTTGGAAATGTGTTACTGGTAATGTCGGGTGATATATCGTTCGATCGGCATTCGGTATTTCAATAACTAGGTTTTGGTTTCCCCTTTTCGTTGAACTTAGCTTTCAAGAAATGCAATCCAACTATGAGTGGGCCTTCTTTTGCCGTATATTTGCTCTCCTTGGCTAGAGGATAATTGTATGAACGAGGTAGATATACTTAAAGAGAGGATAAAAGGCCGAACATTGGAATACGAGTTCTCTTTCGCAGTGTTCGTCGTTTGGGCCACATGGCAACAAGCCCTTTCATAGCTACCTTAGCTTCTTGCAGAGCGCCGGCCGACCAGCATTTTCACTTTCCAAAAGGAGGGCGTTCAAGATAAGTTCTTGAAAGGTGAATCGCAGCATGCTTGGGAAAGTGATTTCAAGTTCTGGCAGGTCATGCAGTTAACAAGCCCAAGTTCAACCACGCGTATCTCCTAGAATAGACCAAAAAGGAATGAAGGCGGGGGTGTATGTAAGATTTCGTCCTATTATCTACGCGGTGAGGCTGGAGGGATAGGAACCCGTTTTCGCCCTTCCAGATTTATAGGTGGTGGAATCTCAACCCCTTTGCTCCTGGCATAGTCAATGAAATCCCTACTAAATGGCGTCTCCATCTTGTGAATGACAAGCTTTTCAAGTTTCAACTTATCGCAATCCAGGAGCCGTTTCACGCTGTGTTCTTTCACCTGTGTCCGGGAAATGTCCAGTTCCTTGATATTAGGGACCATGTCGATTATGTTTGTGATAATCTTGTCATCGATTTCTGCCAGGCCACTGATGTTTAGAGACATGAGATTCTCTAGGTTGCCTTGCATCATCGCTATCAGTAGGTCTTCTACATGTAGGTGGCATCCCTCGAGATCAAGGTTTGTGAGGGACGGTTTCGATTGAGTGAGAGCAATAAGAAATGTACCCAATTCATCGTATTGGAAGCGCTGGAGAATTAGGCTTTTTAAATTCGGTGTCATCGCTGATATGGTATTGCTTGGTAGGATGATTGGGGGGTCATACTCGCTCATGGATAATGAGAGGTGTTCAATAGATTCGGGTAGTTTAGGGTAATTGTTGAATTTTATGCCTAGAAGCCCGAGACGCTTGAGTTTTGGCAGGTTCGAAATTTTTGGTACGTCACTCATCCTCAAGGTTGTAGAACATGATCTGTGGATGAGGTATAACTCTTCAAGATTCGGGGTTATATCGAATAGAGTGGCCTGGACTTTAAATTAGTACCTGAGATGGAATGCGGAGTCAGGGGCTAAGTACATTTCTTAGAAATGGTAGATCTAGTGGGGAAACATCATGTGGATGTCTATAGTGACGGCATCCAAGGACGATTAGTGACCGCAGATTGGGAAGTTTAGCAGGAAACACTTCGTAGTCACTAGGCGGCGCAGGCTTGATATGAACCTCGACCCGTTCAAGCAACGGACAATCCGATAAAACCTTCATGAAATCAGAGAATGTCATCTCGGATGTTGCTGAACAGACTAAGGTTCTTAGACTAGTGAGAGTGTAAACTGGCGCAAATTCGAATTTCGGGTAGAAGCCTGGTAGAAGCTCCAGGTGTTCTAAAGAAGGAATCTTTTGTAACCCGGCCATAAGCTTAGGAAAATCGACTGATTGAAGATTGGCTATTGAGGCGCGAGTCAATCTCCAGTGTGATCTGCGTAAGAACACCTGAATTGATTTGAGAGAGATGGGTCGGTTGGCTTTTGAGAGGTCAAGATGGGTCCATAACTTGGGGAGCGAATTTAACACCATATTCCAATGCTTAGAAACCCGGAGTGCTGAACTTTGTAGCATCATGCTAGTTTAGTCGGGAGGTACAATGAGAGAGAAAATAAACGAGAAAAAAGGGGATTCTCACAGGAGGGACTTTAGATCCAAATATTCTAATATCATGGACATTAGCTCAAATGGTAAGAGAGCAAAATAATCTATGGGCTGCTTAAATCGTTTTTCTAACTTTGCCGCTAATTTTTTGATTTGCTATGCAAGAGATTAGCCCGCTACGCCATGGAAAAGATTGAAAATTCGTAGTGCAAAGGAAATTAACGAACCTGACGGCCAGCGTCATCTGATGGTAATATACGAAGGGCATAATGGTAAGTCTGGAGCGCTCTCTCATGTTTATCCATCAACTGGAGAATTTTGGCAGTACGTAAATATCCCTGAAGGGAAAATTAGTTATGATTGCTCTGAGTATCATTATTTGTAGTTGGAAGAAGTCTGTAGAATAGCATACCCGGGAGTCAGTTTTATTCTCCTCGATCATCCGTCTGCCATCCTGAAGGCCCGCATTAGGCGCCTTTAATTTGCAGTGAGTTGCAGCTCTATTGTCCAAAATACCAACGGTGTCACCTCCCCCAATTTTCAATGCCTGGTTTTACCTAAGGAATTTAGTTATGGTTATCATCCATATCGGTGATCGCACGTATACTTGCCTGGCTAAATGCAGCAAGTGCTCTGTGAAAGTTGCCATACCGGTATTGAGATTGTCCGTAAACTTGAAGAGAATTCGCGTCTCCTTGAGGCATGTTCAATAAATATAATAATGATATGCTAACTGAGATGACTTGCCACAACTGGTAATGTAAGTGACTGACAGGAGTTAGATGGCTTGAATGATCTGTCTGGCGCTTGACGAGGATGACCCGAATTACGCGCTTGTGGTTAGCGCCAAGACGCATTTGGGCTAGTTTTGCACTGCTAGGTCTAACGGACAACCGGAGTAATGTTTATGTTCTTCCTGATTGGGAAATGTGTGAGCAAACGACTCAATGGTGTCGGCTTGACTTCAACGTCCAGGGGCCAGTGCTGTGGTTCCAAGCGCCCAAAAGAAGCAGGAAAATGGAGACTCAAAACCTATCTACCGCTTCTGATTACATTAATAATCTGTTACTTGCGCGAGGGTTGCTGCGCAATGGGAAACCGATCGATTTTGCACGGCCAGAGAATGCACCTGGGGGCGTGGATGACACTATGTCAAGGGTTATAAACCTGGTTCATGACCTAGTTTTGAGAAGAGATGTTTGTATTAACAATTTATTTGGACAATGTGCTACAATTATAGAAGCTGATAGTTTCCAGCGCGAGGCAGAGCAAAGGGAGAACCTGGCGACAAACATCAGAGCACTTCGGAGCACAGAAGCGAAACAAACACTCGAAATTGTATGTTGTAGCTGCCCTCTGCAATTCGAACATTTAAATCTAACAAAGTCATTTTCGTTTTTGCTTTAGGAGCGACTTCAAGCCAAGACCACGGATTTGTCTCGATTGTTGGCACTTGCTGAAGGCCAGGAACGCGCCTTTAAGGCTACTATCCACAGCGCAGAGGTCACAAATAGAGGGCTAAAGGAGCAGATACAACGCATGAAGACCTCAATTCAACAGATTAGAAGCCAGTGCGCTACAGATGTTCGAAAACGTGACGTTGAGCTCCAAAGACTTAAATCTCATCTTGCAGAAAGACAGAGGGGAAAGCGAGAGGGACTTGGCGTAACAACAATAACAATAACCCCTACCCCGAAAGTTAGCATGGTTCGGAAGGCGTTGGAAGGCGGAGAAGGCCTGGAAAGTGTTGGATACAGTCTCAAGCAGGAGACGACTGAATTCCTGACTAATCTCTGCCAGGAGCTCAGCGACGAGAATGACGCGATGATTGGCATCGTGAAGAGCACCCTTGAGACATTGCGGAACTTGCAAGGTCTGTCAGATTTACCTGAAAAGGACACCCAGGAACAAGATATTCTTGGCTCCAATGCCTATGAAAGTAGCCGCTTGGAGACATCAGCTTCAGAGCTGACTCCACAATACGAAAAACTCTCCGCTGAAATGGATTCGGTACTTGAGCAACTTAGGTCGTTGCTCACCAATCCCTCGTTTGTGCCTTTAGAGGAGGTTGAAGTACGAGACAATGAAATATATAGGTTGAGAGATGGCTGGGAAAAGATGGAAGAACGATGGAAGGAGGCTGTTTCAATGATGGATTCATGGCACAAACGAATGGCTCAGGGAGGACTGTCGGTTAATATTGATGAACTTACGCAAGGAATGGGACTTGGGCTAGGACTTGAGAAACCCGAACGTGCTAGATCCGTGCCCAAAGCAGGAAACTTCGGCCCGTCAATATATGATGAAAACGATACTGGGGAAGGGGAGAGAGACTACTATGATGCCAAAGAAAATACAAACCCGCCCGAAATTCGCATAACGAGTCCAGCTAAGGCTGTGAAACAACGTGTTCTTGGCGAAGGAACGGGAAATGCATTCCGAGATGTACCCTCCCGGCGTTCTAGGCGAAGTTGGAAGGAGGACTCCGAATATAGCGATGATGAGCTTGCTTTGTCGGCTAAACCGAAAACGGCGCAACAATCACAGAAGAAAACCCCGAGGGTTGCTGAATCAAAAATTCCGAAGGTTAGTAGAGATCAGATAAGATTGAAGCTGGAGATTGAAGAAGCTGACTTGAAGCCAGCACAAAATACCGACAAGATCAAAGCTGTCGACCACTGAAAAACTTGCCAATGTTGAGTCAGAAGCAAAGGAAGCAGAAGGAGAACGCAAGAAGAATGAAAGAAGAAAGAGAAGTAATTCGTCGACACGCTCCAATACGAAGCCAAGGCGACGAAAAAGTACATTGACGCCGCAGGAGTTGCAAGATTTACTCCATGCTGGCACCTAAATTGGCAGCCAAACATTTCAGTCGACGACTCTATTGAGACCCCGAATTATCTTCTTTCAGTTTCAAAGCAATCATTTTCTTGTTTTGTGCATAAAGGGAAGGTTTTGGAGTTTACATATTCCACATCATCGTGATGGACATCATCGAGCCCTGGGTCAATAATATTTACAATGTTTCCATGCTTGTGAAGGACAGATGGAAAACATATGTGGCGGATTCAGTAATTTCTACTTATTTTCAGTCCTCTGAGATGAATCAGGGAGAAGTCGCACGTCTACGATATTTCTATCCAACACATCAGGAAAGTCGGAGTTTGGTTTTGTACTCTATCTATTGGCAATCACAAATATTGAATAATATATTGAAGATTTTCAACTTCATTACTATCCGAGATCCGTATGCGATTTTCGCGCGCGAGTTGGTGTGAATCTCAACCATTCTGTTCTACATGAAGCCCTATCAAGGTTGTGCTGTTGAATTAAGCATGGGGCTCACAAATAATGCTGGGCTGACCCTCGCTTGAGGAAACGCGGTTTAAAACATGTTACTATAGCATGAGCGCCCCGGTTATCAACATCACTGGGTGCTTCCCTCCAGAACCGAAGGCGAGCAGTGTTGCTCATCGTCAGATCAATGTAGAACAAGCTAGGTTTCGCTTTTTTTGTTTTTCAGTTTACCTCTCTGCTAATATCAAACGCAACGCAGATGTTCTATCCCACTTGCTGTTCTGTCCATAGCATCCTCAACCCATGAGTTTCTCCACATAGATTCTCTGCCTCGGTTGCATCTAACTAGACCCTCGGCTCAAATGGGGCTACATCCTTGGATCTTAACAGATATAAATGCTGAGGCCGTCTCTTGTGTTTTTACAAGTGACAGTAATGCTCAATTATTTCAGCAGCCTTTCGCTTCAATTCCCACTGTTCAAACTCACTTTCCTCGCTCCTGAGCGAACAAGTGTGTTAACGAACTTGAGAAGAAAAGCCTAAAAAAAGGTTCCGCAGCCCATTCTAACATCCAGCACTGTTGGTGGATAACGATGACAGACTCAACATTCTATGGATGGGTCGGCCAATCGGCAACCTCGCCGTTAATCCACACGACCTACCGACCAAAACCCTTCGACCCGACAGACATTGAAATAAAGATCACCCACTGTGGCATCAGTGGCTCAGACATCCACACTCTCCGCTCTAGCTAGGGACCTACAGATTACCCCTATGTCGTCGGGCACGAAATCGTCGGACATGTTACTCGCGTAGGATCTGGAGTAGCTACCCTCTCCTCTCCATCTCGGCATTTGAAAGTTGGAGATCGAGTGGGCATCGGGGCACAATCGGACTCGTGCCACCGACCAGAGTGCCCAGAGTGCTCTTCCGGATTAGAGAACCACTGTCAATACCAAACGGGAACATATGGAGGTCGATTTCGTGATGGGAGTAAGTCATATGGTGGGTATGCGAAGCCGTTGGCGAGGACCGGCATGGTTTACATTTAAATTACCCGATAGCTTGCCCAGTGCCGCTGCTGCACCCCTCTTATGCGCCGGAATAACGGTGTTTTCGCCCTTGGTGAAAAATGGCGCTGGGCCGGGTAAATCCATTGGCATTATTGGGATTAGAGGGCTGGGACACTTGGGCCTTTTGTTCGCGAAAGCGCTAGGTTGCGATCATATTACTGCTATTTCGCGGACGAGCGCGAAGAAAGCTGAAACGTTAGGTGGTCTAGGAGCGACCAAGTTTATCGCGACGGATGAGGATAAAGGTTGGGCGAAGACACATGCTCGATCATTGGACCTAATTATCAGCACTGTTTCATCCTCGGATATGCCTATTGGAAACTATCTGCGGCTCATGAAGGTAAATGGGCAGTTCATTCAAGTCGGTGCTCCAGAAGAGCCATTCCCAGCCTTCAGGGTATTTCCGCTTATAAGCAAGGGAGTCAAAATTGGAGGCTCGACAATAGGCTCTCCAGAAGAGATCCGCCAGATGCTCTAGTTAGCAGCCGACAAAAATGATATCCCATGGATTAAAGAACGTCAGATGGAGGATGTTAACAATGCAGTCGCTAACATGCACACCGGGAAAGCAAGATACAGGTATGTCCTGGTGAATAAGCCTGAGAGTGCCACGATGCTATGATTTGCGTAGAGGAATTGTGAGAACTCAGTTCCGTTGTATAGTACGAAGTACACATTGACATATATGAAAATTGATGACCGGTGCAGCCCCTCGTTTTGCTAAATATTTCATCAAGCAGCCCTGGGGTAGACAACTGTAGTAAATATGTCCTCCGTACACAACTTTATGTTCACAACTGGTTACAATTAACAACCTATCCATTGAGGAATTACCAAAATGGAAAGGAAAAACATGATAGTTTAAGTATACCGAGTATTCATTACATGTGAATGAATATTTAACCAGCAATATGCAGATATATTATTGCGTAGTGATTGTTACGGCTTCTTCCACGTCAGGGCGCTCTGTGTTGGTGTTACTACACCTACCCTAGTCACGTGCCACCCCAACCTATTTAGTGTAACTCGCGTAGTTAGATTACAACACAACACAACAATGTTATCCTTCAAGAGGTTATGAAGCCCTTTGCAAGCAACAAAATAACTGCAATAATATGCAAATTGACATCTCCACACATTGTTACAAGTGTGCCTAGATGATTTATTAAGTGATTGAACTCATGATTAATCTAAGATCTGAGAGAATGTCTGATTTAATAAAAGAATATATATCTCTAAGATGAAGAAATAAGAAAACATCAGAGTAGTAAATATAAGATCACAAATCACTGTTAATATTAATAATAAATCAGAAGATAGCTTCTGAAGTATTTAAGCTAAATAAAATTATTACAGAGAAATAATCTGATAAGTTTAATAAATATAAAAATCTGATTAAAGATATCAATAAGATATTAGATAATATAGAGAGTTTAAGTAATTAAAATAATAATAGTTCTATAAGTAAGAAGACTTATATAAGACTTGAAATTACAAGACTTCAGTATAAGATTAAGTGAATAAAGATTAGTAGAAGTAAAACTCTTATAAATAATAAGATAAGAATAGATCTGATAGAATATCTTTAATAAAAAGAGAAAATATCTATTATAATAAAAGTTCTTAAAGAATTCAGAAGCTAAGTAAGACTTATTAAAAAATTAATAGTTCTCACTGAATCTATTAACTATTTAATATAAAGAGAGAAAATTCTTTTAACTATAGAACAGTCTGAAACTGATAATATTCTTAAAGATAATAATCTTAATAAGAATATTACTATAAATATATAATATTTCTGAAAAGAATACAATCTTTGATTATATAATTATATATAATCTACAATTACTCTACAGATCAAGACTTATTTCACTATACTTAAGAAGTTTAAATTATTAACTTATACTTTATAAACTATTATAGAGAATAACTTTTCTGAGAGATCTGCTATATATAGACTGACTGTCAGAACTATGAATTTCATGTTTGATTTCATTTAATCTAGTCTCATACATTTCTTAGCATGAATTCCACTGGGACTGACTATTAAAAAAACATGTAAAGTAACTATATATCAGATCTTAAAATGAAATCATAACTTGAAAAAAATGAGAAAGTGATCTCATTTAATTCTATTTAGTCTCATTCTTGGCATAAAGTTACTATTTTTAGACATTTTAAGGTTTTTTTTAGACTATTTTTAATTTTTTAAAAAGTAACACTTTTTGATAATGCTCAAATGAGATTTAAAGTCATTTAAAGTAATAAAAATAATTTAAATTGAGAAGTGGAAATCATGGTCTCATTTGAAAAATGTGACAAGAGTAGACAGTAAGTTTCACTGAAACAGTATGAAACTACTATTTAATGTTAAAACTGTGTAATGGAATCAGTTGAATTGATAATGAGACTATCAAAAAATCTGATCCTGGTCTCAGACACGGTCACACGGTCAGTCTAGCTATATATAGAACTTATTTATTTAAAAAGCTTATTAAAATAATCTTTAAAAGTAAAGAATTTAACAGAGCTTTTATTAAATAATTAATTATTATCAGAACTGATTATATCTGTCTAAGATATAAAATTAAAAATATTATATTTTTCAATAAATTACTGATAGAAGTTAATAGAGATTGAGTATTCTTTATAAAGAATAGAATAAATCAGATTAATAAGAATAATTTAAAATCTTTAGAAGAAGACTTTATAAGATTATATTATAATATTCTTTTACAGCTCTCTGCTGTAAATGAAGTAAATACTGATATATCTAGAAATTCTATTAATAATATATGAGATAAGAATAAGAAAGGCAAGAATAAAGAGAAAGATAATAATAAGAATAAGAACACTGAATTCAAATCTGAATATAGAGATAATAACACAAGAACCTGCTATTATTATTAAAAGATTAATTATATTCAGACTGACTATTGAAAGAAATACTCTGAGAAATGTTTTTTAAACTTCAATATTAATAGAAATAAGAATAAAGACAAGAATACAGAGAATATAGATACTACTTCTGTTTATAATATTATAAAGTAAGTATTTTATATTAAAGAAAAGATCTATGTAAGTGATTAGATAGAAAAAAATACCTGAATTCTAGACTCTGAATCAGATGCTTATATCATATCTTACAGAGATCTTATTATGATAAAATCTTAGAAGATGAAAGTAATGTTAAAAATAACAGACAGAATAATAATCTCTGCTATAGCTATAGAAGATATAAAGATTTCAGTGAAAGAAGTAAATATACTATTAAATAATATCTGCTATGTTCTGAAGTTAGAAGTGAATCTTATAAGTATAAGTAAGCTTATATATCAGAGTTATATCTATAAGCAGTTAATATATAAGAATAATTATATTATATTAATTATATCTCTTAACTGTATATTCTTATTTATAGTAAGATTAAATGAAAATAATATCTATGAGATAAAAAGATCAGTTATATACAGAGACTTAATTCAGTTCACTATACTTAATAGTGACTTTAAATCTATAAATATATTACAAGTGAAAGATCATATAATATTAATACTATCTGATAGAAATAATATAAAGATTACAGAACTTATAATAATACAATAATATTAAAAGCTAGAATATCTGAATTCTGTAAATATTATAAGAATGATAACAGATCCATACTTAGAAATAAGAATAAAGAGTGACAAAGCTTTATTATTCTATAAAGTCTGCATTCAGATAAAAATAATACATTCAATCTTCACATCTATAATATAAGCTATTAAGCTGATAATGAGATTCTTCATTAATCTGATAGAGAGTGAAAAAACACTTTTTAACAGAAATAATATACTCACTAGAGAGAGTGTAAGTTATTAATTAAGTATAACAGACAATATAATCTGTTATAGATAAGTGATTCTTATAATAAGAAAGAGAGAATTTACTATTATAGACTTTTAAATTGTGTTGACACGCTCGAATCAGACAGGTTTAAGTGCATGTTTCAACTCTCTCAACATAATCTCTCTACTTACAGCTGTCTCACTACAACAGTCATGCATTAATCAGTACTGAGCTGAATGACTACCTCTGTCACTCACTTAATCACTCATTATAGATGAAGTGTCAAAGATCATAAATCACAATTTTTGTAATCAAGACAGTTAAAATGAGCTTCTCTCTGTTTGAAGCAGTTGCTTAATCACTCTGCTCATTCAGTATTATATCTCTGTTGTCTACAAGTATGCTGTTCTCTCACAGGCACAGACATAGCTCATTTTTACTTTCATTCACATGCAACTGCATCTTAGAAGAGATCTTGATTCAGATCTGCTACTGCTACTAATACAGAACAGTTCTATTCTTAACCTGTTATTCTTTCTCTGTGTATCTTATTAAATGCTGGAGTTCATCACTGCCTGTCTGTACTCATGATATAACTGAAGTGCACTCACAGTACTGCCTACAGTTATCAGAAAAAATTTAATAATAAGATATTAGATATGTTATTTCATCTGAGTGAATCTGATATTAAGTATCAGACTGATCTGACAGAGTTATCAGTTCAGTCTACTCACTTCAGTAAGACATTATAAAGATGTTAATCTTATCATCAGATTCTTACATGTGTATCATCAATGAATTCAGATACAGAGAGTATCAGCAGCTCTGATTCTTTTCACTGATCTGATAATAATAACTTAGATAACACTGATGAAAATCTGTCAGATATTTCTTCAGATTTTGAGAGCTCAGTCATCATTAAAGCTCTTAGAAATTGTGTAATAGATTGCTGAAAACTGTGAGTTTCAGAGACTTGTCTCACAGAGTCTTCTCTGCTTTGTTGTCTTGATACTAATCATAAATAGTTACTATGTAAAGTGAGTAAGATAAATCATCAACTTTAAATGAAATTATCTCAAGAAAGTGCTCTGACAAGTCTCAGTAAATAATGTACATCTGTTTTTCAACTGAGTTTTGAGAAAGCTGAAATGCAGTAAGAATGAGCATCAACTCTCAAGAATCAAGGTTAAAGACTTACTTAACACTGACTGAAAATATTTTCTGAGCTATTATAAGAAGGAGACAGATGATGTGATAAGTGAAAAGATGTGAAATAAGATTCTTAATATGAGTTAGAATATGATTTATACTCTGAGTTCTAGACTGATAGTATCTGTGAGCAGGGAAAGCAATATCTTGTAGAGAAGTATAATCTCAGAATGCAGCTGCATGACAATACTTCTATCTATATTGAAGACATGATTCTCTACAATGAAATTATTCTTTAAACATAGAAGAAATAATTTTATCTGAAATTGCAGTGTCTGCTTCTATGCTTCTATAACATGCTAGGCCTCTTTACTGTCAACTGAAAGACTGCTATTCTTGAGATTTAGTATAAAGATCTCAAACTATCAGTGCAGTGAAACTCATATAAAGAGTTACTAGTACTGATAGTTAACTTCATATTAACTTGTATCAAGAACAAGTTTGATATGAAAAAGCTGTAAGTGACTTCTCTCAAATTCTCACTCTGATAATGTGTGTACAGTGACTCACTAGCTGCTAATTACTTCAACTTTTTCTTACAAGATGATAATCTCAGACACAGTAATATATTTATTTTATCTGAGATTATTTATAAAATCTCTCTTATCTTCAACTCATATATCTTTCTCTTTGACTTTCTGTTTCATACTGAGGCTTTTGAGAACTTAAATCTAAAAACAATGAATGATGTGCAATGACTACTCTCTGTAGCTGACTGTCAGAAGCTGGAGCTGCTGCTGAAGCAGAAGATAAATGAGTGATATCTCTTTTCTAAGATAATGATTGTGAGAGGGCAGATTCGCATACTGCGCGACACACTCATGCTACTAGACTTAAATCTGAAGATTATAAGTGAGATTCACAGATGGCTCAACTCATTCTACACTCATCAGTTTCAGCATGATAAGAGTAAGTTACTTAATAAGAGTGATAAGCTGAGAAACCTTCTACATTATCTTTCACACAGAATGCTAATCTGTGTGCAGAGTTTGTCAGTGACATGCAGATGAATGTCATTATGAATCATGTCTCAATGAATACATTTATTAAATATTATCAGATTCAGTGCCATGCTAATCTGCAGAAAGTGATGTGTGAACTTGACCTGAACTGAAAATGAGAGTGAGTGTTGACTGAACAGAATTGATTGTGTGATCAATGACAGCTGCAGCATCTCACTGATGCAGAGAAGCACTCTGTGAAGTAGAACCCGGAGCTGCAGACGCTCATTTATACACATCAGAAGATGCAAGCTCTGCTGACTTGAACTGATAACTCAGCACTGCAGCTCATTATCAGTAAGCTCAATCAGAACATCATTAACACCCGATAAAGGCTTTGCTATAAGCAAAGAAATGAGGTGCGCCAAGGCTTCAGCTGAAAGCAGGTGATAATCAATATTAAGTGCCAGCTATCTGAAACTGTGATCTTCATTAAGCCTGCTCAACCACCTTTCAGCAGAGTGTTTGATATTCCGTCAGAACAAATGTATCTTCTAGAGTGTCTTATAAGTGTGCCTATGTCAGACTCTCTGAAGAATGAATGACAATGATGTAATAAAGCAGTAGAGATAGTGAGGCAGTACTGTGACTTTTCTGAGAGCAGACCTTGAAGAGGACAGCTACTGCAAAAAGCATCAGATGATAATGCTGATCCGGATGAAGAAATCAAGATCTTGCAGAAATGCTGTTCCTTAGCTCTGACCAGAGACAACAAACTCCGGGTGATTGTGAAGCACATCCGGGATGCTTCAAAGCCGGAGGCATGCTTTCAGTGCTGAAAGAAATACTTCAGATATGCTGATATTCTGAGGCACTTTCAATCTACACATCTGACTGATTGTTAATACAACTTCTGTGATTTAATGTTTGAGAATCAAATAACTCTACAACTTCACGCCTTTAAGATGCACTGTCTAAAAACCTGATTCTGAAGCTAGCGCATTTGATCAGCCCTGTATTCGAGTTGATTTTAGACACTATCATAACTATACCTATTATCAATATATATGCTTCAATACTTTCTTTTCATCTGTTCTCCTTGCCGGCTTTTGAATATCTTAATCTCTGAAGCAGGTATGATCATCCCTTCCTGCCTGAAAGCGGTTAGAACACTGGAATGAAAGGTGAGTGATGATTAGGTATTTCAAGAGCCATCATTTTTAACCTGAAGGTAATGATTTTGACTGAATTCTTAGCCTCTTATTCTGCTATTCTGCAGTTCTGCAGTTTTGATGATTTTTACTCACTTCACAAGCACTGTTTGATGTTGCAGTTTCTCAGCCTGCTATACTATAATAACTTAAAAGATGCTGATCATCTAAATTAATAATTGTGCCAAGTTAGTGTTGCGCGCCATTTCATGACTGCTTTAATAGGTTATTATGACCAAGAATGCTGATCACATAACTCATACAGTAACTCAAAAACTCTTGAGTCTTAATGCTATTTTAAAATATTCTATGTTAGAGCTTTAAATCTAGGTGCAGAGAGAAGTCTATATAGTATAGTAGTTACCTTATTAAATTTCATCTACACAGTGTCATTCATTGTATTTCTCTTCTTAGCTATCTCACTGTTCGTTTGAACAGAAGAATGACTTGTAAGAAAGTGTGTGTCATTGTTTAACATCAGAAGATCTTCGGCCTGTGAGGGCTGAGAGATTCAAGCTGAGTGATACTTGATATTGAAAAGAATGATTCTGCTGAAATCACTCTTTCTACTTCATGTAACTTAGACATCTGCTCAATTTTGATTCTAACCTGAAGAAGCTTAGGCAGGAATTCACAGAAAGAAAGGAAAAGAACTAATCATCACAAGAATGCAGACAAAGCTGGAATTAACTATGATTGTAGAGCTTAAGTGAAGAAGTATAGGGCTTGAACTCGCGATATCTGCTATTAAAAAGCAAGAAATATGCTCAATTTCTGAAGCTGTATGTCTTTTTAGTATGCTATGTATGACTCTAGCTCATCAACTGCATGGCCAGCCTTCAAGAATAAATTTACGCGCAAATTCAATCAAATTGACTGAGGCTGAAGAGAACCTGCTAGTTCAATGAGTTCTTGACCTAGCTAAATGAGAATTGCCCTCCCGGCCGGCATTTGTTGAGAATATGATGAATCATCTTCTTACACTACAGCATTTCATCTCTCTTCCCCCCCGCATTGGCAAGAACTGAGTGTTAAATCTAGTTAAACGCCGTACGGAGCTCAAATGCTAATATATCAGACACTACAACTATGACCAGGCCAAATGTGAGAATAGAAGAGTTATTCAGTAGAACAGAATTAAGTGTCACTTTTCATGATATTACAAACATTGTCATACTTTGAAATGAGTTGACCTTTAACAAGTATCACATTTTTAAAAGTACACTCTTCAGTGTTAAATCTTCCTTGCATCAGTCTCACTTCAACAACTCTCAGTCATGATCATTCACTCAGCTTCATTCAAGTACTAGTGTTAAGCAGATCAGCTGAAAACGCACATTCTCTGATAAAGGCACACAGACATCTAAACAGTCATGCTTCAGCAGTCAACTACTCAGAATAGATCAGCAGAAGAATAAATTAACTTTTAAAATTCAATCATTCAAATATCTGAGCCTATTTGATAAGAATGGTAAAGAACTTTATAATAATTGAATATTTCACTGCCTGATGATCTCATTGACTAATCAGTTAATTTACAAATATTATTTACCTACTGAGCTTTTGAAGGCTCTTTATAACAGGGTCAAGACACATCAGTTTCTTTACATAAAAGGCAATATTCTACACTGAGACATATCTGAAAATAATATTATTATCATCAACTCAGAGACTATTAACAGTCATTTAAGCATACTAATTGATCTGAATCTCATCAAAGAAATTGATACACAGAGCAGAGTATAACATCAGACTGACACTATGAAATTTATAGTCATTGAGATACTTCTTAATATTAACTATACATATTATCATGATCTTGAATCATTCTTCTATATGCTGATCTAGTAATGTGCCTGTCATGACTGAAGAATGTCAGAAGAGTGATAATAAGATAATTACAAGAACAGTATACTGAATGATTGATACACTGAGTTATATAAATAACTCACAAGAATAAAACAGAGGGATATGAAAACTAGCAGCTTTAAGTATCTTTTGACAGAGTTTTCACCAGAGTTCAAATGCATCAAGTCACTATGTAGAGCTATACAGAATATACTGTTTTCATTTGAGAAGAATGAGCTGATTGTTGACATGCTGAGAGAACTGGAAAAGTTATATAGTCTGATTATCAAAGCATATAAGAATGTGATATCTCAACTTGAAAGTGAATAGGTGATAATATACAGGTACTGTTAATCTCTGCCTGACTGAATCCTGTCACTGAGAAATTAAAGAATGAATTTAGATTGCTACATCTCTCTTATTTTCACTTCTTACAACACTTCTCACACACTTTCTCAATATTAACATCTCTCATAATGCCTTCTTCACAATGCTCTTAACATGTCTATGAATATCTCTGCTATGAATCTGATATGTATTAATTCCGATGCATCATGCAGTACTTGACTAATATCAAGAAATTAGATTTCTTATAAATATCAGTGAAATATGAATATAGAATATTTAGTTGATTATACTGATTCTCTACTGAGTTAAGCCTGAGATCTTTTGAATATTGCTTATCATATCATTGCATATCTGAGATATCATACAAGTTAGAGCACAGGGCTAGAACTTGTTTTTTAAAAGAATAACAGAAGTAACACACATGACTGTTTCTATGCCACAACAGCTCTTTCTTCTATTCTTTTTATCTTCTTTCTTACTTTAAATTCTTACAGATAGAATCAAGAAACTTTTCAATCTTCACAGTGACTTTTTCTTACTCAGCTATGATAAAATGTGAATATGACTTTATCTCTTCAGCAATTTGTTAGCCGCAGAAGCAATTGAGGCTGTAATGTCAATCTGAGTGAAGAAGCTTGCAGCTCTCATCACTGAGAATGAAGAGAGATTCTGATGACATTGTTCCTCATGACAGTATCTTGTACAGAAATGACACGGTACCAGGTGATTGCATTTCAGCTTACATTAGTGACAGAGCAGGCAACTCAATGTTCACCACTTACTGAGCAGTTGTTTAATTGTATTCTGACAACATTATTCCTTGCGACGGTATCTCATACATGAATAACAAGGTACCAGGCAGTCACATTTCAGCTTATGTCAGTGGCAGAGCAGGCAACTTGATGTCTGCTGCTCACTGAGCGGTTGTTCAGTTGTCTTCAATTTTGAATTAGATATCATGATTACAGCAGGTGAGGGAGCTGGTATCAGAGAACCTAGTGAAATAGTTGCAAAGCTAGGTTGAGTTGTTCTTATGCTCATCTGTTGTGCTGGCATTGACAGGGGTGATAGTGATTGAGATGATGAAGAAATAGATGTGCAATAAGCAGGCTCCGTGCCATAAGATAGAGACATGAATTGACTCAAAGTACCTGTTGATGAAGAAAGAAAGACCTGGCCTGAAGTTGATACTGTGAATTCACTCTTCAGATCTGGTGGTTCTGGACATGTGATAGAAACAAGGGAAATGCATGTCTCATATTTGTACCAGTCTGTATCACAATAATTCATTGCAGCAGAAGCAATAGATGTTGACATTTTCAAGATATGAAAGGCAAGCTGGCAGGAATATGCAGTGAGAACATACAATGCTGGAGAAAACCAGTTATGAATCAGAAGAGAACAAAGATGTAACTATTTCTCATCATAGAAGATTCTTGAGATTTGAAGACTTCTGTGATGTCATACATGAGAGCGGGATCTGTCTTTATATGCGATCAGCTTGAACTTGGCACAGAGAAGAATGCACAATGTAATTCAGCATCTGAAAGATAAGAAGTCTTGCATATTATTAACTGATAAATCAATTGAATGAGTGAAACAAATCAGAGAAGAATAGCTTGTTCTTTAGATCAAAGAGACATCTAGTCATTGTTAAGAAGCAACATCTGCTTGTTCTGTATTATCATCTTCTGTTTCCTTCATTGCAAATCTAGCTGAGATGAGGCCTAGTTGTTATCATAATTGAAGATGAGCACTAAGTTCTA